ACGACATCTCAATTCACACAGACAGCGCTATAAGCAGTCTAAATGTATCGTTTCGCTGCTGTTGTTATGAGATTCCGGTGTTGTGCAAAAGTGTATCCTGTTGCTGGGTGTTAGTTAATATGTGATGAGGTTTGTAATGTGAATGTGTGTTGTTTGTGGTTAGTGTTTGTCGTTGCATGTAGTGTTGTGTTTGGTTGTTAGCTGTGATGTTGATTAGTTAAGTGTTGTTGTTTGTGTTGTTGGATGGATGTGTGTTGACGGTTGTCGGCCGAACGTGCTCCGGTAGCTTAGTTGGTTAGAGCGCCGTACTTATAATGCGGAGGTCGAGAGTTCGAGCCTCTCTCGGAGCACGGATTTTAGTCGGCGAATGCATCCCGTCTGCACTTCCCAAAATCCTTCACTGTCAACCTGTCTGAATGTATCTGTGCACGTGCCTGCCTGCCTGCCTGCGTGTTTCGCAGGCCGCGTGCACAAGTGTGTGTTCTCAGATGTGCGCTGCATCGCATATATAATGACTAATGTCAAATTGTCATGTGTGAGTATTTGTCTGTATGAGTGTGTATTTCCTTTGTTATATGGAAAATACGTCAGTTCACAGGTGAAAAACATGGCAGTATTTTACAGACCTCACAGCATAGGACTGAATATTTTTCTTCCTCATCTGTTTTGCTTCATTAGAGTCTGCCATATAGGTGATAAATCTACCCCTTCTCTCCTATTTACTGCATTCATTATGGTTAAAATATGCAAGGCTTCAGATGTCAGTTTTTCTGTTTGTGAATGGAAGCCTTTTCCTAGAGTTTCCTCAATGTCGGAATCGATATTAAATCCGCTTTCTATAGCGTGTACTGCACTAGCCAATCATTTTCAAGACTCCCTAATTCAACTTCACTTCTAGACTGACGTTTCGTGCCCAACCTGTGTTTATTCCCTCTGACCTTCACCTGTCTCCCGTATTCGAAAAATGTTAATTTGGTTTTTTCTTAAGCAAGCCTGGATAATTTTAAGTAATTTATAATGATTTTATCTGACTAGGTGTTCAAGTTATGCCAGGAAATTCCAAACACGTAGTCTGGATATTTATGAATGCATATGCTTTAGTTAGTTGTTACTTACTGACTGTAAAATATTTTAACACAAAGGTATGATATAAATGCCATCGATTTTCCAGTGGTAATCACGGAACGTAATTCTTTGTAAATGTTACTTTACAACACAAGTACTTTTCTCAATTGTGATTATTACTAATATTTCAGGAGAGAAAAATTTGACTACTTAAACAAAATTCAGTAGCTCAATAAATAAGTAGATATTTTCAAAATTGAAGATTCCTGAGTACACGAGTTTTGCAGTTGAGAGGTTGGTTTTACTTATTAATAACGTTTTTCCATTAAAAAATGCATTTCTGCAAAACTTCATCCTACTGAGGATTTTTTAGGGAAATTCGAGAACTTAGGGGATAATGAAACCACTTGGGAAATATTTCTCACTCAAATCAAAGTAGAAAGATATAAGGCATACATTCTGTAAAAGATACTATATTGAATGGAGCCTTAATCACTCTAAATCTTCCATCCAAGAACATAAACGAGTAATCGAAAAGTATTACGCCTAATGTATGTGGACAACTAAGAACAGTCAAACTTCAGAAACTGAAGACATTTTAAATAATCAAATGCTTAGAATACCTAAAGATCTCTGGAATCCTAGTGGTCAAATCAATGAACATCTAAAAGACATCTCGATGTAGATCAGTGGTCCTATACCACACCGACCTCACCACGATGGAAGATTATTTTATTTAGGGAGTATTTGAGAAGTTTATTTGACGGTGAAGATCTGTTTGAATATGTTGTTTTGTACGACAACCAAAAACCTGACCTTTCAGCTTAGGGGACACAACGAAACTGTAAATTATTTTATTCCAACTGCTTGTTGCTTTAAGTTAAAACTGATCTTCTATTCTGTTTTGCTATGGAAGTAATATATAAAATATATTCTTCAGGTAACATCTGCTTACGCTAGCACACTATGAACACAAGGTTGTAATTATCTAGTCCCGCTTGCTGATCCCTAAGACTTCAGCCTAAATCCATGCAAGATTTAAATACCATATGTAAAGATAGGCGAAAATGATGTTAATTATAATCGTCGAAACCACTCAAACCAAGCTTGTTAAAGCCCTGAGGAGGATCGCGTTTTGTCACCGTTCATCAGATTTAAACTGATAAATTTATCCTGGCTACTGAAACCAAGGTTACTTTCTAATCTAACTGACCTTCGCCATCTTCTTCCACGTAGTGGAAGATGACTGACCTGACAAAAAGTACACGTTTACTGCGATTGCTGTTCTTCCTTATAGGGTTATTTCCAGTCATCCACCAGAGGTGACTTTCTTCATTTTTCAGCCATCCTACGGTTTTCTACTCTCCACCAGATTTGGGTTATGACTGAGTCTTATGGGTGGTTATGTCTGTACTATCAGCGTCTCTTGCAGAGACTTCACTACTTCGTTGCTGACTGAGGCTGTTTCTCCTGCTCTGGAGGGCACTGAGCTCGCTATTTCCCCAATAATTCTCGTGGATGTTATAATTTGACATAACAATGAAGCTTCCTCTAGAGACCCTATCCATTAAATCGCTCGGTCATTGTGAGGACCTGTTCTAATAGTTTACTTTACAGTCCAACTATTTAGAGTATCAAAACATCGCTGATCTATTGATATTTCAGGATTATCAATTATATCATGCCTGTGAAAGTGGCATTCATTTCATGTACATTTTCCTCTTTGTATAAAAAAATTATTATTATTAATCTTCTTTATATCACCCTCGGGTACACTTCCAACTCGATGTACCTCATTATGTTTTACCTTTTTGTGTGATGTCACTCAGCAGCGGTCTCCTCAGAGTATGCTTAGTCCGCCTCCATTTTCTTCGGCATTTTATCACGCAGCAGGTTGTTGGTTGGTACGTTAACAGAGGTTCTTGTTACTGATTATTTCCGGCAATCTTATCTCCAGTATGGAGCGAAAGCAGATGCTGATAAAGTCTGAACACTGTTTTAAATGCTCTGGATGACGCGTTCTCCAAGTCTATGAACTGTATGCAATCACTGGCCTGACATTAGCATTGAAAATCCGAATCTTGTCACTTGTGTTAAGCGCACATACACACGCTGATTTCAGAGTGAAGACCTGTATTGCTTTTCAGATGAGTGAAAGAAGTAACTTCCTTCAAGTTCTTCCCGCTAATGGTGATCGGTGCTTGTTTTTATTATTGGTTAAGTATCTTCACAACCTCTATGTTCACTTGAAATCCTATCTTCTGATAATGTTTCGTTTTCCTCCTCCAGATCTCCAGGTATGCTCAACATTAGGCATAAATCATTCGCCACGTTCACTAGGTGGTCCTAGTCCGTTACTGTTGTGGTTCAATGACAAACTATATTTTTATCGGTTTTTTTAATGAAATTTCGAATTAGGAATTTTTTCTGACGTATATATTATCAGTGTCATCATCATTCTTGAACTCTATCACATTTGCTGCACTTTTATCAGAAATTCTCAGTGTAGAGAAACTAAAGCATTCTAGTTTAACACTGTGATGCTGTTAGGTGGGAATATCGTCAAAGTGCTGCAGCCTACATGCACTATATCTTAGAATTTTGTGGGGATTTAATCTGAGTCAGCTGGTGTGGTATCTACTCTAGTTAATCTCAAATTTACTTTTCCTACCGATAGCTGATTGGACACCGCTACGAGCCTATGAGTTACGTTGGTTGTAATTAGTGTTCCTGCAGGTCCTACCATTCTACAAAAGTAGTTCGGATAGCGGTTTAGACTGAAGGTAGCTACCTTCATAGTGTAAGCTGCTAACACTATGTAGGGAGTCTGTAGGTGAAGTTGCACTGCTGGAGAAGATGGATGTAACCACAGTAAACTGTTCCCGTCAGATGACTAGCACGCCTGTTGTGCTACTTACCCGACCTTGAGATGCGATGAAAAAGGATCGAGCATGGAAGTCGTACTTTCAAACTTGTTTTGCGGCAGTACTGTGGTGAGAACTGTCTGCTAGCCAAAATTGGTAGAGAGCAATTGACGTCAATGTTTATATCCCACATCTTGTTCATGAGAAAAAACAAGAACAAAGCCTAACCTTAAGGAACTCAACGAACAATCACGGCAGACTAAGCGTGGGCAGATATAATTCGCAGATATATCACCGGACTGTCTAAGAAACGGCAACAAATAGATGACAGAATAACCTTCAGCATGATAAAAACCAATCAGAAGATGCTGCTTCCCTGCTAAAATAACGAATAATAATGTACATAAAAATCTATAAATTTAATTGGTGGATAGTGACTAGCAGTGGAATCCAGGATGAGCATTTCGTCCTAATTGAAGCTCCTCATCTGGATGTGCCTGCACTAAGCAATGAGAGATTATGTGCCCACCGAGGCTCGAACCCAGTACTCATAGTTTCAGACGCCAAAGCGTTATCCATTAAACCACTTGTGCCACGAGAGCCACATCAATTATTTAATTGAATTTTAGATTTTCCCATCGACCTGAGACGGAGCACTTCTGTCCAATCAATCGTTTGGAAAATCTAAAATTCAATTAAAGTCGATAAATATCTGTTGATTTTCTCAATGAACGATCTGTTGCCTGGCCCTTGTCTTCTGTCGTTACAGTATGACCTCAGTGAGGACGAAACTCCAGAAACGACTTCAAACAGATTGCGCGTTACCGGCCTCAAGCAGTTATCCCCTTGGCTCTATAGTCAAGCAACACTAGCGACAAGTCTCCCTTAGTTACCCTAAGAAAAATTCAACTCCCATGGTATTGGCTGCCGGAAAGTAATAACCAATCATATACTTTCAACAACCCAAAAATCCCTTCTGTCCTAAAACTACACGCTGGATCGCCAGAGGTTTACGGCCGGACATCATATCAATCGTTTCTCATTCTCAGACAGAAAAGAACTTCACAATTTCAGGAGAGAGATAGTCTTATTATTATTATTATTCAAGAAAGAAACACAAGAGCAAATAACGGAAATATTATTAATAAAGCACTGAAAGGAATCGACAAGGATGACAAAAAATTCGTGAACTTTATCTGAAATTGTCATCACAGTTATGAAATATATTATTATAATTATTATGAAACACGTCTCATTATATTATTCAATGAAGAAATGAACTCAGGTATGAAGTTCCACATTTCAAAAGGAAAATGAAAAGTGTAAAACTCAAATAAAAAATAAATGAAACATAAAACAGTCGGTTTAATTACAAAAAGAAAAGGAGAGAGAGAGAGAAAACAACAAAAACAACGTTGGACAATGAAATGCGTCAACTGAAGTGAAATTATATTTACAGTTCTCAAACTGTGAACACAGTGTAAAAGAAGACAAAAAGTAGAAATTAAAAATAAAAAAAGTTATGATAACTCAAAGCCAGCATGACTATTTATTGCATATCTCAGCTTCTCTTTCAATGCACTCCGAGATGAATAATTCGGTAGTTTAAGGAGATTAAAACAAGTTGATGCAGTCGGCAAACGAGAGACTTCTTCACGACGTCCAACAACACCAAGAAATCCTTTCAACACTGATCCTAGAGTATCTCCAACATCCTGTGGAAATAATGAGAAGGCAAATAAATGTTCATGATTACTTATTGTAGTTCTATGAATTAATGGGGGACTTTCCATTCCACAATATCACCTTCAAACCAAAACTAGAAGGTCAGGGGGTTTGATTTCTGGTTTAGTCATGGGTGTGCGCTGCTTAAGAGTCATACAGCAGGGAAGAAACAGTTGCCCAATGCTCCACTCCCTGGTTTCCAATGATTCTCTAAGAGAAGTTGATTAGTGACGAAATCAGCGTGTAAATTAATCCCATGTTACTACCCAGTTATCCAAAATGAAATATGTGGAACGTGACTTGAACCTGACATTTATCGACTAAAATTTGCCTGATTAAGCCAACGATACTCACTAGGGACTTGCTCTATTCAGGTAGGTAGTTACCTGAGGTCCTAGTGAGAACTCGTTACCAGTAGGGTGCAGCAGGTCGGGTGTGAGGACAAATACTCGCTGAAGACATTGGCTAGCGGTTTTGCTATATCGTGAATTGGCAGAAATTAGAATTCATGGACTGGTCCCAGTGGCTTAATGGTATACGAGCTCGCCTTGTAACCAGAAGGTCCTGGGTTCGAGTCCCGCTGGGTGCGTACTGATAAGGAGTCCCAAACTAGGCCACTGGAACAGCTGTCTAGTACTCCCAGGTTTTCCAACGGTTCTCTAACCAATGTCAGCTCATGATGAAATCCTGTAGCCAATCTGTCAAATCCCTACAAACCAACACTTGAACATATCTATCCACCTGGATAAGGTTCAGCAAGATGGTAGGGCGATAGAAGCTATGAAGCTTTATTATTTTGTAAGTGTGAAAATATTTATGATTGCGGTCGACGTAGAGCCTAGATAGGATTGTCAGCTTTCTTATAGGCTTTGACGTTTTAGCAACGCTTATGTTTCGTTTCAACGGAGTCAGCATGTGAACCCCCAGGTCCAACCATCCCTCTTCTCCGGACTTTCTACCATCAGCTAGATGAGGTTTAGAATTGCAGGGCCATGTGTATGGCTAACGTGCATTTTCCCCCTGAGCCTCCGGAGCAACTAATCAAGTACTTCAACAATCAAAAAAAGAAATTTCATAATATAACTTTCCCATATAAACTGATGATACAAAACAACCCTTCCAGGCAACAATTTACGCAAAATGAACATAGCCCTTGTGCGTCGGTGGCACAGCGGTTAGGACGCTCACCGACCATGCACATGGTCCGGGGTTCGACCCCCAGCCGACGCACTCCTTCACCTCGTTAAGCCGGTAAAGAGGAAAGGTTCGGCATGAAGCTAGCAACCCCATCCTGTGAAAAAATAAACACTGCTACAGAAACTTTAAGCCTGTAGCTTGAACCCCTATGTTCCGCTGGGAACGTGAAGGAATAAAAAAAAGAAAATAGCCCTAAATGATAGAGGGGCAAGCCTGTTTTAACTGAGACAGTCTTGAAAAAATATCTTAAACATAAGGCACCAACTCCTAGAACAGTAATGTGTAAGTGGAGCAGGATTGAGATGGAAAAAAACACAGGTGTGAAGATGGTTAAACACTCATTCAATATTATTGTGCAGCGACACAGTATTACTACGTTATGGTTGAGACGTACAGTTGTTGGTGGTAATAAAAAGGCTACGACTGCTTATTTGCAGTTCTTTTGAATCTCTCTCCTTTACCTTTGCGTGCTACGCAGAGTGTGGCAACTTGAAGCGCTTCACTTCTGTACAAAGTTCCTTGTTAAAACTCAACTATAACTAAACAATTATACATAGATGTTCATGTAGGATTCCAAAATTAGTACTTTTGGATTAGACGTAATAAAAAAATAGGAAGATCAGGGAAATATCCAGTGACACAATGAATCTGTAATAACTGAGCTTAAACAAAGCGCACTGACACATAATACACGACTTAATTGTGAAAGTAAGTGAAAGTAAGCAGACTGAAACATCAATATGAAAAATGATGCTCGGAGAGGCTTCGTGTGCTTTTGGAAGTATGTGGACGGTTGTTGTTACTTCCCGGCTACCCACACCGTGCCTGCGTTCTATCTCCCTCCAGTGTGAAGTGGTGGTATAGTAGGATAAGCAATACTGAGGTTAGGCTTCGGTAGAGTGCTAGGTAGGTGGGAGGGGAAATCAATCAACGAGGCTGTGAAGCTACATCGACTGAGATGGTTAGGACATGTGTTACGCATGTATGTCCAGACATCGCCTTCCTCAACAACAGACAATGTTAGCTGACACAGGGTCAGGCTGGAAAAGAGCCAGTGGTGGTCAAAACGAAACATGGCCTCATCGCTTAATCAAATCCCCAACAGTTAGTTTCAACCAGCCAGTCACGTAGTAAGCTGTAGACTGCCTGACTGGTTGGGGTCCTCGGGTCGGTAAGAACCAATGAAGACTGGAGACAATCGGTGATATGCCTCAAAATCGTTCTCAATGGCTAGCGCAGTTGCATCCACTCCTTGTGACTTATAATTAACAATGAAACTATATTGTTCTTCGTTATTACTATTTCTTTTGTCTGATAACCCCGTTTAGCTGTCTCTATTTTACATTTCTTCTCTTGCTTTGTATGCTACATGGAGTGCAGCGACTTGAACTGCTGCACATCGGTGCAAAGTTCTATGTTGAAAACAGACAGACAGACCGATAGACTAAAACATGAAATAAATCTATGTAGTTATGAGATAAGGGTTAGGCGTAAAGTGTGATGCCGGTCTGATTTCACAACATGGCATTACTAGCACTTAAAAAACAATGAATAACATTTTAAAACTTCGCTTTGAGTTCTAATATACATGATACAATAACTATTTTTACTTATGCATAATGAGAAATATTTACAGCTTGAATTGATTCTCATTGACTGAGTTTCAACGTAGACCTTTCTCCACAGAAGTCTAGCAGTTTAAGTTGCCATACTCTATGCAGTACACAAAGGTAGAGAAAAAAAGCAGATTTGAAGGTTTCATGTCACGCGCAGAAATGTACGCGAGAAAAACAAGGTAACATGGAAAAATATGCCGACTTGATGGAACTGGAAGACTACAACGATTGAATGCATCTGCGCCATTGAGGACGATTATGCGCCATAGCTCACTAGTATTCTTCACCCACAATGGTTCTTAGAATCCTGAGCATCCCAACCAGGCAGTCTACACCTGTATATATATGTGGCTAACTCCCTACAACAGTCAAAGACTTCACGGGGTTATGCCACAGATTAAAAGCAGTTTAAACAAGACAAGACAGCAAAACAAAAAAAATAATAATAACCCAATTCTTACTTGATCTTCATTTGTATAATGCACACAACGTATACAGAATGGTGGTTCCAGATTTGCAAAACCTAACAGAGGTGGTCTCGAACAACTAGTTACAAACTAAAATAATTTTTTAAAAAAATAGAAAAACAAGATCAATGATCATTGTGAGTTGTGTTAAGCAGGCGAAGGTATACAAGTAATCCAACACACTTTGTTTATTCTTATAAAGCATTCAATAAAAGAAAAAAACCTTTCCAGAATTTTTAGAGTAGAATTTGGGCATTGTGGTAGGGTACAATTCCACCATAGAATGTATTTGATAAAAACCACACAATGATACAGCACTGTCTATTTATTGATTGCCTTTCGAGCACAATTTATCGCTGCTCATTATCATATCATAGCACTAATACACCTTTAAAAGTATATTTCTACAGCCCAATTATTTCGTACCCCTTGATTTTATTGAAAGTAATATTTTCCATAACTACGGTAATGGTGTTGCGTCATTCCTGTTTGCATGTGTTAGGTGTAGATTCGATGAGCAAAGATGCAATGATCAAATATCTCTCTCTCCCTCTATATTACTTCTGTCTCACCCTGTTGTATGAATGTGTATAAGTGGAACTGGTCACTTTCCCTCTAAAAATTTATTTGATATAACATTCAATGATACATTAAGAAAAACTGGATAATAATAATTCGAGCTCGCTCGACAAATATGTAGGAGAAAATAGAGATGGATCGGGCATACGTTGAGAAGTCTGTCGAATGGCATCGCTCGAGTGCATCCCTATGTGAAGTGACGAGTGGATCGCTGATGAGAGGGTGACATGGAGGAGATTGTGCGGCGAGGAGATGAGAGATTATGGGTAATCGTGGAGAGGCCCAGCTGAAGAGGACGGCAGAAAATGGAAGATGTGTTGTTGAAGCCTTATGTTTCACTCGGAACCCAAACGAATAATAATAAAAGAATCTTGTAGAATGTAAACATTCGATATCAATGTGCAACTCTCTAATTTGCTTGTAACGACTCACTTAATTTTACACATATATACATAAAGTGTTCTCATGATATTGTTTCTTTTTCTATAAACCCTACATTTCACAAAACTATATATAGATGTGGCATATAAACGAAGATAATATGCCACTGAAGTAACAATACTACCAATAATAATAATTTACCTTTAAAAATAAACTACGTTCACGATCATCGAAATCACGTCTTAAAATATCCCATAACCAACGAATAACACGATGATTACTATGAAATCCACCGGAATAACGTGTATGCTGCCTGAAAGGAATAATAACAATAATAATGGTAGCTTTATTTTGGACAATATGTTTATATATAGCAAAGAATTCACAGCTAAATTATATTTACTCTTTAAACAAAATCTTCATCAAATACAACAGTAATCTAAAGTATATCATTCGACATAATTTCTTTCGATCTAAAAAACACACAGTCCATTGCTCAAGGTGTTGGTCCCCTTCAAGTCAAACTAAGAGTTAGGTTGAAAGACATGCAAAAATAAGCGTAAAGTACAGATTGTATTTCAAGGACGTAGTGAAACAGACAGTTAAAACAAAGTTCAACAGGGTAAGTTTCACTCATACTGCTACGTAGAAAATTAGGTAACCAAATGATTTAAACAGGCCGCCGGATACAAAAGAGAAAGAAAGTACAACTCCAAGATGATATAACAATTATTCATATGTTATCTTGAGATGAAAACTCCACTTTTAGATATTTCGATAAAAATCCCCTCATTTAAATGTTACAAGTAGGAAAGAGGGAATTTTTTAAAAATATTATGTCTTTTTAATAAATTTCAGCATCGTTATTAGAAAACGGAGTTTATCTGAAGAACAATACATATTATGTAATCTGATCAAACATTTTACTCGTCAAATCAGCTTACAAGAAAAATGAAAGGAACATATTAAAATAAATAAAGTGACAAAGCATTTAAGAATAACACATAATAACACGATAACTCTTGATAATGTAATCAGATAAGTGCTAACAAAGTAGGCATAAGGTAATAACAGATTTGTTGAAGTTGATTAAGCCGAAGTGTTCAGTGTCTGTCGACAAGTCAGCGCCTAGTACGGATGCATCAACGATGTCTGATGACTAACAAGTTGTTATTTTGCTGGATGATGACTAGCAGTAGAATCCAAAATGAGCACTTTGTCCTATTTGAAACTCCTCATCTGGATGTGGTAGCAATCCCCATTAAGATGGTGGTCCCTCTGAAACTCAAACCCATCGTTTCAAACGCCAAAGCGTTACCTACTAGGCCACTGAAGCCACGACAAATACCTTTTGTGCAACGGATATGAGTTATTATGGTTGGCGCATTCCAGTCTCAGTGAGAGACACCATCACACACCGGAGATCGCAGGTACATCCAGTTGAACACTCCCACATACGATGAATCTCGCATCCTGGATTCCATTGCCAGACATCACCCACGAATTAATAATCAATTGTTTTGTGATCAGAGTGGGGAGGGTGTAATTTTAAGGATAGCTATCTTTTCTGACTGTTTTAATCGATAGTTTTGGAGGATATCAGTTTTGTGATTTGTGTCAATTAAGCGTTTGGCTATAGACAAAGTAGGTAGCCTGCCGGTTGCGTTTATTACGGCTTCACAGTTCAGTTGCTTTTCAAACCATTCGGATATATGATTGCCCACCCTAAAATGAAAGGCATGACCACTCATCCTTATGTATGTGTGACCACATACGTAAATTTTCGCAGTTTGGGACATGACGTAATCACTTGTGCAATGTTCAGGCTCACAATAAAGCATGTTTTTGGCTTTCCCGATAATTATAATCCGTGCTGCATAGTCAGTTTTACGGATAACCAGATTTAGTCTATGTCTTAAAATCCTACTACTTATCTGTTCATTATAAGTTAATTTGATGTAGACATCTTCCTTTGGAAAAGAATAGACGGTAGGCCTTGAAATTAACGGACTTCTACACCATTTCAAAAACTTTAAAGTGATACAACTAGTTGGGTATCGCATAGAGAAAATAAAAACCCATGTGTAATTTCATGCATTTATTCCCCTTTATGGATTTGAATAAAGCAAGAAGTTTTTGTAGTTTTTTAAACTGTTGCTCTTGCTTTATGTCAGACGGACTCATTTCAACGTAGAACTTTGCACAGATGTGCAGCAGTTCGAGTCACCACACTCCCTCCATATAGCACAAAAAGCAAGAGAAGACAATAAAGAAATGTAAAATAGAGACAGTAAACAGAGATACGAAACAAAAAGTATAGTAATATAGAAGAACCATATAGTTTTATTGCGTATTTTAAGTCACAAGGAGTGGATGCGTCTGCGCCACTGACAACGATTTTGAGACATATCACAATTGTCTCCAGCCATTGGTGTTTACCGCCCCGAGGACCCCAACCAGGAAGCCAGTCTACACCTTCCTACGTGGCTGACTCAAAATAACTGTTGTGGATTTGATTGACTGATGAAGCCATGTTTCGGTTTGACCACCGATAGCTTTCTCTTTTCCAACCTGATTTATCCTATGTCTGTCAGATAACATTGAGTGTTGTCGCAAAAGGCTATGGTAGGCAGGCATGTGTAACATATATCTTAACCATCTCAATCGATGCAGCTACTTCACAACCTCCTCGATTGAATTCTTCTCCTTACCTATCACTGGACTGATGCCTCAGCTCATTCTTGCTCACCGTGTTACACCTACCACTGAACATGGGAGATAGAAGGCAGATACCTATGATCAATGACAGCTAGCCAGCCTATTCATGTCTTTCACTATCAATGGCCATGTCACACAGCCAGCCATACAGGAAGAGGTGGGAGTGAATTGCTGAGCAGTACACACGTCCTTTGGTCAATATCCGGATATCACATATACGCCAGAGACGGCGTAAACTGGCATGTGCCAAACCAGCCGTCTGTATCCGTGCTGAGATTTCGTCAGCTTTATGCGTAACTCTAGAGCCAGCTAAAAAGGACCGCAGAGAACTGGATGAAATGAAAGTGCGCTTTCGAAGCCTTATATGTTCGTCTCAGATCCCAAGGGAATAATAATAATAATAGTGGCTATTCACCAGAGAGAAAACAACAATACTAAAAACACATCCATATGAACTGTAGATTTTCTCCATTTATTATTGTTATTATTATTATATATACGATTATTTCAATAAAGAATAAATACAATGAATAATAACAATATATGCGACAAAAACAAAGACAGTTATATACATCGGCTTACTTTAAATCATCAATATCCATAGAACCACAATCACCTGATATAAGAGTTTGTAATTCTGGTGGAGAAAACATTGCCAACCAATCAGGATTTAATATTGAATAAAATCCACGTATAAATGAGGCAGTTTGACTACGAATTTGTTTATACATACGAAAATGTGCTACACTATGCACATAACTTATTCTAAAGATTTGAAAAAAAAGAAAGGAGAGAAAAATTAAAAGAAGGATTACAACTTAAAACTGTCACTTTATTCCACCGATCATTCATTATTTTTTATTTTACTATAGCTTGATTTCACATAGTATTTTGGAATTTTCAGTATGTGATATCCGTAGCCCAAATTTAGCAGCCAAGGTGTGCGTCGGTCGGGGATCGAACCCTGAACCATGTGCATGGTCAGCGAGCGTCCTAACCGCTGTGCCACCGACGCACAGTGAAGGCAAAGTTAACATTTAAGGCACCAAGCTAACAAAATCATCTACCACTTGGAAGCAACTAGTTAGACTGAGTATATTTTTTCTTTGTTTTTATTCCTGTACGTTCCCAGTGGGACATAAGGCTTCAAACTAGAGGCTCGAAGTTTCGGTGGCAGTGGGTGTTTACTTTTACGGGATGGAGTTGTTAGCCTTATGCCCAGCCTTCCCACTTTACCAGTCTTATTACTGGCTTAGCGAGGCATAGGAGTATAGCGAGGTATAGGAGTGCGCCGATCGGGGATCGAATCCCGGACCATATGCGTGGTCGGCGAGCATTCTACCGCTGTGCCAACGACGCACAGAGTTTGTATAGGCGACATAAAATGATTATAACGATGAAACCGACTTGAGGATATAAACAATAAATGCTGTTTAGAATTCATCAAATAGAATTGATTCACACACAGTTTTCTCAGTTCCACATAGATAATAGTCTCGTTAGAAAGAAACAATTATGTCACTGGGGAGCAATATCAACACGTAACGTCGGTCTCAAACGGCAAGCGAATCATTTTAGAGTGTTGTGAGTTTGTATGACACAACCACTGAGGGAATGATTTACGGAAGGAATTTTAAATCGTAACTACTCCACCTCAGGGGCTGTGATATAGCGCCACTGGTGAAACCAGACATGACTATTTATATTGTAAAAGAATGGTTACAATAGTTTATCTTTTCTGGGCTTTGTTCATCTAAAGATGAACCATTCTGAAGAATTCTCAGATGTCAAAACAAATAATCATATTAACTGCATGGAGGTTTCACCTCTGGCATCCTACGGAACAGTACACCAGTTAATAACAAATGCCAAAAGGAAACGACTTATAGCCATTAGGATGGATATAAAGTGTAGAATGTGGTTTGACTTCTCTGACACTCCAATGGAATAATAGGGGGCACTCACACCACATGTTAAAGAAAACTGTCGTTTTTATTACCTATTTACTTAAACTTTTCTAAACACTTTTTCGCATAAGTATACCCATCCCTACACCTAAATCCACCCATTCAAAGTGATTGCGACAGCAAGAAGGCCATCGATCCTTTTGTTAGCTTGGGATTAATATACTTTTACTCTATCCCACTTTGAATGGCTAACCTTACAGAGAAAGATATCTCTGTCTGTCTGTTTTCGACATAGAACTTTGCACCGATGTGCAGTATTTCAAGTTGCCTTACTTTATGTAGCATATAAAGCAAGAGAAGAAATGTAAAATAGAGACAGTAAAAAGGGATATGAGACAAAATGAATAGTAATAACGAAGAACAATATAGTTTCATTGGGTATTATAAGTCACAAGGAGTGGATGCATCTGCGCTAGCCATTGAGAACGATTTTGAGCCAGATCACCAATTGTTTCTAACCATTGGTTTTTACTGTCCCGAGGACCCCAATCAGTCAGTCAGTCTACACCTTCCTACGTGGCTTAAACTAACTGGTGTGAATTTCATTGAGTGATGAAGCCATGTTTTGGTTTGACCACCACTGTCTGTCTGTTTAACCACCACTGGCTCTTTTCCAGCCTGACCCTATATCAGCTAACATTGTTTGTTGTCGAGGAAGGCGATGTCTAGACATACATGCGTAACACATGTCCTAACAATCTCAGTCGATATAGCTTTACACCCTCGTCGACTGATTTCCCCTCCCACCTACCTAGCACTCCACGCCTAACCTCAATATTGCTCACCCTATTACACCAGCCATTTAACACAGGAGATAGAACGCAGACACCTGTGATCAAAGACAGATAATCTTTTCATGTCTTCCACTCTCAATGACCAGGTTTCACAGCCATAAAGGAGGAGCGAGCGGACAGCTGAGCAGTACACACGCCCTTTAGTCGATAGTCGGATATCACGTCTACGCCAGAGACGGCGTAAACTGGCATATGCGAAACTAACCCTCTGTATTCGTGCTGAGATTTCGTCAGAGATCAACCCGTTGGGGCTGATGGTCATTCCCAAATAAGTGAAGCGGTCAACGTGCTCTACCACTTCACTCCCTATTTCTAAACTAGGAGTAAGTGTAGTCCAGTTCTGTAACATCATCTTATATTTGGCAGGAGCGAATTGCATGCCAAACATTCGAAGATTGCAGCTCAAGGTGTTCAGAAGACTCTGCTGGATTTTGTCAGCGTCCTCGCCGAGAAGGACGCTGATATTGAAGTGATAACGTTGCCCTTTTTATCTTACATCATAAGATTGTCTCTAATTTAGACAGAGGTTCCAAGTATATTCAGTATGCCAGCCTTGATTATACATCTACCTTTGACTCTATACCTAGGCCTCTTTTGTTAAACAAGCTTGTTGTGACACAAGAAGAGTTCTGAATTAGTAAAATGTTACATTCTTAATTTCCTGATAGGAATCACTACACTGTATATAATGGAAAATCCACTGTTTAAATTACTCTAGCTGGTGTTCCTAAAGGTGCCGTTCTTTCTCCTTTTCAGTTTCCTTCCTTCTAGTATGACTTGCCCCATCCTGACGAAACTAATTTTGTTAAGTAGTATGTCGACAGTCTGACTGTTTCTATACCAGCGGTTACTTCTCAGTCAGACTGTTCCAAAATGAATAACTTTTTATTAGAAATTAGCTAGTGGTCCTCGTCAAATAGTCTCAAGTTAAATCCCTCCAAAGGACGGGTGGTTAATTTCACTTTGAGACGCAAGCGTGACTTATATGGACTGGTTCGTTCTACTATGATTCTACTATCATATATGGCATTGAAGTTGGAACTAAGTAGAATGTTGAATAGCTTGGACTGCGTATTCCCTCTGATTTTCCCTTGTTTTCCCACATCACGTGCGTCGGTGGTTCGGCGGTAGAGTGCTGGCCGACCATGCATGTGGTTAAGGGTTCCAGCCCCGGCCGGCGCACACCTTTACCCCACTTAGTCGGTTAGAATCACGACAAAGAGTAGAGGTTGGGTGTGAGGCTAGCAACTTCACCCCATTAAAAGTAAACACCACAACTACTGAAATTTCAAAGTTAAGGCTTGAAGCCCTATTTTTCACTGGGAACGTAAAGGAATAAAAAACAACGTATTCTTCGTCACTGCTGCCCCCCCCCACTCAACTTAATCTTTCCTGGTCTACTTACGAAAGACTTTCTCACACTGCGAAGGGAACTGCCTCCAAAGCCTCAGGATGGTCGGGGGTGGGTGCCTTGCGCTGCGGGTTGGCCACCCCTCCTCACACCTCTTGAAATGCTCCCATATGACCGGGCGTCTTACATAGCCTCTCCTGAGGAAGTCCTACTCACTGCCTTCACGTGGCGGAGGTGTTTTCCACCAAAGTGAGAGGGCGAAAGCGGATGCCCGGCGCTCTTCACCGGGTTGACTGTCCATTGGATGACAGTCTAGGGGAGATGGCTAAACCCTGATTCCAAACCTCCAACGACTGGCGTATGAAGCTCACTGGAGCTCACCGGCAGACGTATGGGCAAAGGGCTTGTTGGATGTCCTGGATGTCTGGCCCCATTCAAAAAGGCGTATGAACCGAACTCCGGTCACCGGCTGCCAATGGATAGTGGACTCCCTACTCCACTCCTACTGCCTTGTAGGTCACACTTGGCTGTGTAAAGGCTAGAGCTGCACTATCAAACAAAAGGCCGAGTGGTTCTGGGGACATCACTCGTACCAAATTCCCATGAAACTTCGTAAACTCTCTTCATCAGATCGCTGCGCCTGGGTAGCGATGATTTGAGAAGTTCATGAAGCCGGCTCATCCTTCCGTAGGAGATAGCCGAAGCAAAGTAAAAAAGTAAGTAAGTAGGAGGAGTAGGGGTGTCGATAAAACACCTTTTTAATGACGTTGCAGATAAACACATGGATTCATGTGCAAGGAATTAGTGAGTTTTATCCTGTTGGACTCTGAGCATTACCTCCTATACACAATTCACTCCATGCTGCATCTCATCAGGTAGAACTAGAAGAAACTATAGGAGACTTTACACTCGGACAACAAAGTACAACAACCCTACAATACCTTATTTAGCACACTTTTTGTGATTAGGAAAGTATAAGGCAGGGAAAGTATCAATCAAAATGCCCTGCTTTTATTATTATGCTTGTAATGAGAAAATTAGATGCACTATTGTACTCCATGCTGAAAATTCCATATTTGTACCAAAAGTATCGTTTGGAATAAAGCTATTATTTATATTATTATTATTATGAAAGGATGGCCAGGTTTTTAGTGCATTAAATTATGCAAAAAGGTGTAAGAGTTTTACAGTCTACGTTACTTAAAGAACAGAAATCTTTCAGTAACTTCTACAGTTCACAGAGGATTTTTGAAGATCTAAAATGCAATAAATACTTTTTCTCAAAATACAGTTCACAGTTTGAAAGTATTCTGTTTCAACATACATTCTGTGAGTCTGTAATTCAGTGATAGAATGCACGGCCGACTACGTACGTGATCCGGGTGTTCGTTTCCCAACCAACCAACACACATACACCACTTCTCTTAGCCTGTAATACACCCCCGTTGAAGAAGGAAGACTGGTAGCTAAGCTAGCAACCCCATCCTGTAAAAAAAACCATAGTTACCGAAAAATCAAAGATCCAGCCCCCCCTCCCCAGTTCCACTAGGAAAGCGAATGTAAGATTATATCAGGGAGGTTAGAATATTGTTATTTGGGTAGCAACACCATCACATATCACATTATTCTGCATAACTGAAAAATGAAGCTTTTTTGAAATTCGTAGATGACAGTAAAATTCTGTGAAAAATAAACAAATTAAGGTATCAGTAAGACAGACAACTAGGAACGTTCTAGACATTTTGAATTAGTCACAAAAGGTATAGATTTTCCAAAATGTATGTTATGAAAACATGTGAAACTTTGAAAACGAAAACACGACAACACAAAAGACAGTAAACAATAAGACAATGATAAGCACCCTTTAGATAGATAGACAGACAAACAAACGGACAGACAGCCACACAGACAGATAATAAATGAAAGATGAAACAACATGACAAACTTACTTGACATCGTTTGTTACAGATATCTGCCGTCCACCAGGGCATAGGTCATGTATAATCACTTGACCTAAACAATCTTCTGCATATGAATAGGTGAACTCTAAATCGGATACATCTCCATCATAATGCTGAAAGGGAAAAACATTTTAAAAAAGCGATGGTAGGCGACAGATATGGGAAAAACAGTTTGTTTTTTTCAGCAATAAAGGAACATACAGTTTTCCTTAATAGTGGATAAATGGGTACACATTTAGTGATTTGAGGAACTTCGAACTACCAGCTGAGAATGATGAAGGAGACTTAGTGAGTTTTTATGTCAATCTTTCAAGCTTGCGGAGGTGAATGATCTTATTTCGCAATGGTGGTATTCAGGGATTTGAGCGAATTCAATATTGAACATGTAGTGAGTTTAGTTAGAGAATCACTAAATACCAGGGAGTGCTGGACAACTGTTTCGTCCTTGTTTGGGACTCATGCTCGCAAGTGAGTGACTATAGAATGAAGTTGCTTGAAGTTCTAGTGAGAACCACTAAGTCGCCGATGATATTGCCTGGTAGTGTAACAGCAGAAGGCGAGACACGGAAGCCAGGGTATATTTTTCATTAATCAAACCGCTATTTATATATAGAGAGTTAATATTCGTTAACCAATCACTGAGCGTGTGATTTGGGTTTACATTAAACGACATGAAATAGAATGCTCAAAAATATACATAGTATTCTGTTGCTAATGCTGTATTGAACTGTGGGAGTATGTGAGAGTAATATTCTGCCGGAGAGATTGTCTGCATCACACCACCACAGTAGGAGAGTTATATATCGAGAAATGGCAGAAGATTGAATTCATGGGGTCAATCATTGGATTCCATCCTAATGGTTGAATGAATGACCTACGAGGTCACCTGTAAACTGAGAAGGTCCCCGTGTTCCATCTCTAGTAGGATCATGGGTGCGTCCTGTTGAAGAGTCCTAGGCACGGACGAGCACAGCTATCCAGTCCCCCCGCCTAGTTTTCAATATTTCTCTAAATGAATTCAGTTTATGATCAATTTAAGATCTCAGTTTGGTGTGCACGCCATAGTATAATAATAAATAAAAATTGACAGCAAGCTATTGATACTACAATACACAAGTTAACGAGTACTTGGAATTTTGCTATGCTACATTTTGTTAGTTTTATTTAACTGGGACTTTATTGATGAAATCAACTGAGAATACGTGCAACAGGTATCATTTAACACCTGTTCTCCCAGATATGCGGGAAATTCTATTACTCCTACGACAAACGAGAAAGAGAGAGAAATATTAAAAAAATCAAGTCTGGAAGTTGTGTAGTTATAATTGATGATGTGATTATGTGAACGATGACAGACTGGTGTTCGAAACTTCGTCATCCACTGAGTAATAATAGTGTTTTACTGTGTGGGATATGTCCGATAGAGAAACTACCATAGAATTGAGAACTATTAACTCAGACAGTAGACTATTAGTCGGACATTACTCCATTTTGGTTGTCAATGTATCGTTTAAAGATAAATCATCAATGAACCACTTTGAAGACAAGAACAGACACAGATACAGAAGGTTCGTTTGACATACGCAATCTCTAGTAAAGACGTGATATCCGGTTAGCTATCGACCGAAAGACATGTGCACTGCTCAGAACTCCATAGCTGGCTGTGAGACATGGTCATTGAAAATGGAAGACACGAAAAGGTTGACTAGGTGTCTTTCACCACAGGTGTCTGAATACTGTCTCCCGTGTTAGGTGGTAGGTGTAATAGGGTGAGCAATATTGAGGTGAGACATCAGTCGAGTGCTAGGTAAGAAGGGGAAATCAATCGAGTAGGTAGTGAAGTAGCTGCATATGCCCGCCTAGCCACCGCCTTCCGCAACAACATACAATGTTAGTTGAATGACATAGGATAGATCAGGTTGGGAAATAGAAAGCTAGTGGTGGTCAAACCGAAACATGACTTCATCACTCAATCAAATCCACAACAGTTAGTTTCACCCAATCAGTCAGTCATGTAGGGAGGTGTAGACTGTTTGACTGACTGACTGGTTGGCGTCTTCGGGATGGTAAACACCAGTGGCTGGATGGACACAATTGGTGAAATGGGTCAAAATCATCGTTCTCAGTGATGGTGCAGGTGCATTCACTCTTTCTGATTTATCGTATCCAATAAAATTCTATTGTTCTTCCATATTATTATTCTTTTTCCCTCACTCACACTTCTGTTTGTTATCCCTCTCTCTTTTGAATCTCACCTTACTCTCTTCTCTTGGTTTGTGTGGTGCATGGAGGGACAGCGACAACTGGAACTGCTGCATATCTATGCAAAGTTCTCTTTTAAAACCAGTCAGTCAATCAAGAATATATAAAATGAGTTTAGAAGTGACATGATATTAACTTTTTATATGACACTATTTGATTAATAAACAGGAGTGGGAGAAGCTTCTAAAATCACACAACTAAAGGGATTTCCATATGAATACAAAATCACATTATTTCAATGAAACATTTTAATAAACGAATTATATATATATATATATTGATTGGACACAAGTTAGTAACTAGTGTAGTGTGTCTAGCCCTTTGTTTGCTGCAGACTGAATTCTATCAGTCAAGTGTGAAATGTAGCCACCATGCTACGTGGCTTGTCACCAAAATGCACTATGAATTGTTGTTATTAAATGGTTGGGGGTAATTGGCAGGAAGCCTTCCACCTAGGTTTCGTGCAAGTTGGCACTCATCAGTTAGCAAGGTATATCTGCTATCTTGAAGAAACTCATATCTCTTCCGAGATTCGAGCCGGCGTCATTCAGTGCTGCAGTCAAAGACGCTATCACGTTACACCTCAGCTCCGGTAAAGATCGGAAAGATGTTCGAAACGAAATCTGTTAATCAATTCACAGCTCACTGACTGACTGACTGACTGACTGGTTTCAACATAGAACTTTTCACGGATGTGCAGCAGTTCGAGCTGCCACACTCCATTTAGCAAACAAAGCAAAAGAAGGGAGTAAAGAGAGATTCAAATTCACAGCTGGTCCCATATATAACTGTCAACGTCACAATAATAATGTACTTACCCATGAGTGAAGGAATTGTCTGAATTTTCAAAAGCTTTATACCTCATAAACAGATAATGGTTGTAAGTTCTGAAGCCTTTATGTTTCGCTTTAGCAGCAATCCTATCAGACCACAACGTACCTCGTGGTAACGCAAACTTTAGAAAATTCCATGTGAAATTGACAACCAATAAGTATATTGTAGCTTAAGATTCCCAATTAATCCATTATCTCAATTAAACGCCGATTTCATTAACCGCTCACCTACTTATTCGTAATTTATTTTTCCCAATAATTTTGTACTAAGCATTAACATCATGACTCCTATCAATTAATCCTAATGTACACATGTTCACACGCCTGTAAAAGGGGTTTGTTTCTTTTCAAAATTCGTATAAAAAAAAACTATTGAATTTTGTACAGGTTTGATTATTATATTTTAACTTTACCTTGATATAACTTAGACTTTTGTATAACTCTCTATCCAGTGTGGCTAATTCATCAAGAAAACTGTAACAACCAGCTTTTTCACGACCGAGTAATTGAGTAAGAAAGAAATTTGCAAATGGTACATCAACAACAATACTCTAGAAGAAAGAGAAAAGAAAAGAGTAGATAAATTGTAACAATCACTGTGGTTAGTTATTAGTTCGAGCTTAGTCAATCGCCCCACAAAACACGAATTCTTCCTGAATTGGACTATGAGCCATATATATAATGTGACGGGTACAGATACTACCTAGTTGTTCAGGTTGAAGTAGGTGGCGAAGCAGGGTTCGAATCCCAAAAGCTGCATTAACTGAAGGTCGAGTACGTGAACAAAAAACGTTACATCTCCAAAAAATCATAACCAATAATTTATGCGTCGGTGGCACAGTGGTAGTATCCTCACCAACCACACCTCACGTGGTTCAGAGTTCGTTCCTCGGCCACCGACGCACTCCTTTACCTGGATAACACCAGTAATAAGACTGGTAAAGAGGGAAGGTTGGGCATGAGGCTAGCATCTCCATCCCGTAAAAATAAATACCAATACTACCGAAACTTCAAGCCTCTAGTTTGAAGCCCATGTTCCAATGTGAAGGCAATATAAATGAAAAAAGTACGTAAACGTGAGCTGGTTCAATGGCAGAATGCTCGCCAACCACACAGCAAGAAGCAGGGGTTCGATTCCTGGCCACCGGAAGGCCACATAGGAAGGTGTAGATAGCCTTCCTGTTTGGGGTCCTTAGGATGGTAAGAACCAATGATGGCTGGATGGAGTCAATTGGTGATACGACTCAAAATCGTTCTCAATGACGCTTCTGATTATTATCTCTCTTTTGAATCTCTCTCCACTCTCTTCTCTTGCTTTGTGTGCAACATGGAGGGAGAGTGCCAACTGGAAATACTGCACATCTGTGCAAAATTCTATGTTGAAACAGGTCAGTCAGTCAATCGCGGCCGCCGGAAGTAATCCTAAATCCCACTTAGCTGGGAGTAACCACGGTAAAGAAGGAAGGTTGGATGTGAGGCTGGCAACCCCATCCCGTAGAAACAACAACACTGTAACTACTACGATTCGTTTAAAGCAGTTTTGGAATCACATGCGTATTAAGAACTTACGGCAGGTTAAGGAATGTACAATCTTCGGGGTCGACCTTTACTGACCTCGCTTTCAAGAGCCGAGAGTCAGTATGACTGACAGCTGGTGGTCGCCTTACTGATCTTACATCCCTAAACGCTAGCGGTAAGACTTCGCTTACAGACCCCTCCCCACCCCCAACATAGTGTGAACATCCTACACCATGAGACGGTAAATGCTTTTAGTTTAATCGCTATCCAAACAACCTTTCTGGTGTGCTAAGACCTGCAGGAAGATCAGTTAAAGCCAGTTTGGCACATTGCACCATTGAGATATGCAATCCCAACCACCACGTCAAGGTAGCAGGTATCGGTCGGGCTTATTTTCTGCTATGTTATTCACTACATATTGCTTATGTTAATAATTTTACAATGTTCATTCTACGTTCTGACATTTGGCTGTTTAGTTATACGCTTTTAAGAGTGGATTTTTACACTACTTCAATCATCTATAATACGAAAAAAGTATATATCAAAGCCTACCATTTACCGATGAATAATAAAATAAAGCTGTGTAATTAATAATCTGCATCTTTCAACATGTTCAGTCAGTTCTTCTAGTTACGGTGGTTGGCGATTTGTGGTCGTCCGTGAATGTAGTGCGACCATTTAAACAGACATTCAGTGGCAATCAGTACCTCCTGGTGATGACGGACGGAACATGCTAAAAGATGGGTAAATTCCATCACGATCCCGGATCAACGCACAAAAACTGTGACTCACGCAGTAGTTAGAAGCAATCGCTGTACTAAAGAAGATACTGACAAATCAGGGGGCCTGTTCTGAAAGTGAAGAGTTTACACCCCACTTACAACAGCTAGATGTATTACGAAGACTAGAATAACCACCATATCATCTACAAACTAATGGTTTGATAGAGAGAAATATCTGTATACTGAATGAGTGGCTGGCTTCGAAAGGAGGTAGCTGGGAAACACAGTTTCTATTAATTCTACTAGCACATACATAGTGTTTCTGCCGAAGAAATAACAAAGAAGTCGCCGTTTCAGGTGATGTACGATGGGGAAACCATGACTACCATGACTACTACAATAAGACCTGGTAGCATCACCAACAGTGGAGTTCGAAAAAATGACGAACAAAACCGAAAGAATCAATCAGAAATGTAAAGCATAAACAGAAGATTGAAACTGTAGAATTCGAAGAGAGAGGAAAGGAAAAACAAAAGCCTGACGTTTGAAATTGGGGATCATGTAAAGTGTACAGCAAGAAAGTGCGCTGTTGGAGACCTACCAGATCTTCGGGCAATCTCTCCAAAGTGGGAAGGACCATAAACTGTCACAGAGGGATAGGCTCTTGTTTACATTATCAGAAGAGAAGACAAACGGAAACGTGTTAACGCCAGCCAACTCCAGTAATGGACACAGTGGGATAAAAAAGTCACTACTGAGACAAAACAAGAGCGGGTAGCACCAAGAGGGTCGAGGCGGCAGTGGAAACGGTGATTTTAATGTAAGGTTTGTTGTATTTCGCCATATCAGTATATCGATTCACCAATAATTAAATCAGTTACCAAATGCTACCCCATTCTGCTTGTATACACACACGTGTTATTCAAAAAAGAAGCACTTACTTCATAGATAGCTTTAGCAAGCATTTTGCCTAAAAATTCAAATAGCTGTAAATGACTCTCTTGTAGATGTGATGTAGGCGATGGATATAAGCGTTGATCATTTGTTACACGAAATAAATTTAAACTTGGATCAAATACACGACGAAGTGTTTCCTCTAAGAATTCTTTAAATACACCATCCAAATCAATGCCAACTTCATCTAAACCCTGTAAAACAAAAAGGATAATACATAGAATTAAACTAAAACAGGGAAGCGGAGGGGGAGGCAGTTTCGTGTAAAACATGAATCGATCGACAGATCTTTCATGCACCAAGCTAAGAGATTGAGTGAGGGCTGATCATGCTATCCAGTTGTTCAAGCAGAGGTAGGTGGAGGATTGGGACTCGAACATGGGACCGACTGGTTGAAAATCGATTGGCTTACACCAGTGAGTTACATCTCCCATTGTTCTCGGAGATTTAATTTAATCTTATCCAATGCCGAAACGATATTTAGGTTTAATATAACCTTCACTAAGATTGGTTGACATTCACAAATCGATTATGGTATAACAACTGACACCAAGTAACTAACTAACTATGTGCGTTTACGCTATCACTATAGTTATTCGTTCGGTAATTTCCAAATGGAACTTGGGGCTTCTGGTGCCCATCCCCGTCGTATTCAGCTCTCTTACAATCACTTTTAGCTGACTCAACAACTACCCACGAAATTTCATCTCCTCTTAGCATGATCTTTTCTTCCATCTTATATACCAAAGCCTAACTGGTCGCTTCCTCTTCGACTCGAGATTCCGGCATATGATGCTTCTCAACTGTCTCGCCAGTGTATGTTAAATTGACCTCAATTTCCTTCTACATATATTTTATAGGTAATAGTTTCTTGGTTGGTTAGCTGGCTGGCTATCAGATATCCTTGTTGTAACTCCATTCTGGCCTGCTATCTGAGCGAGCAAAGCGGCCTCTTGGTTGGTGGTGAAAGTCTGCAGTGATTTGTTGGAAAATATCTTGGTGACGCACACGTCAAGTCTGTAAAACCATGTAGAAGCACTGTCTTCACATAATTGTGGAGAATTCTGATCTTGTCTCTTGTACTTATTGATGCAGATCTTCACAAAAACTTCAGATTAATAAAATACCTCTGTCGTGTTTGCCTTTGATGACATCTTCAGTCGTGCCGATTATCTGTAGGTGAGAGGATGCTTACCACGTAAGTGGGTATCTTCCACTGCCTCTGACTTCTCTATCTTCACTTAAACTCCTGTCCTTCCTGCCTGTTCTGTCAACTTGTTGGTTTTCGCTTGTAATTCTTCGACTTTGTGCAAGGTAAGACATAAATTACTCTCAAAATCCAGATAACTTATGCCCATCTCCTTACTCCCTATGGTCTGCTACACGATCCATTCCACCATAGTCAAGACCACCAGTGATAGTGGACAGCCTTGACTGTATTCTTATTACTACGTAAATGTCTCATACCATAAATAATATGAACATATTATGCAATAGACACTGTCCAACGATATGAATACAGATGATACACACAAACACACACACACTGCATTTACTTCATGCCACAAAATATGAATGCATATCAGACACCAGCTTCTAATTACTACTTTTTTTCTTTCTTAAAGTAAACAGATTTTATTATTATATGACAAATTATGCTTTCTAAGGATGATTTATGTGTAGCGAAATAAACGCACACACACACACATTAGGAAATGTACTAGAAAAGAATATTGCCCATAAGAGCCTGTGACCAGTGAACGTATACAAATAAAAATGGCATTAATCTGAGTTGTGAAAAACAACCTTATGATGCTTATTCGTGTCAAGAAATGATCATAATCCATAAATGTAGTTGGTATCAAGTAAAGTTAAGAATGGAGGATTTCATCATGAGCTGACATCAGTTAGAGAACCACTGGAAGTGGGAAGCCTTGACCAGTACGGTACAGCAGGTTGAAGATGGGGCAGTAACACATCGAAGAAGACATTGCGAAATGGTCGCGCTATGTCGTGAATTGGCAGAAGTTAGAATTTAAGGATCATTGGATCGGGTCCCAGTGGCTGAATGAATGGTCTACGAGCTCGCCTTGTAACCAGAAAGGTCTGGGTTCGAACCTTGTCCCGTGGGTGCATACTGATAAAGAGTCCCAAACTAGGACGAAACAGTAGTCTAGTACTCCTAGCTGGTTTTCCACTGGTTCTCTAAGTGATGTCAGCTCCTGATGAAATCCTCCATACAATAAAATTAAGAACACAATATTCAGCGAAGAAGAGGCTCTTTTCAACGAATTTATAATCAAGTTGTACAATCGTATGTATATATGGGTTTTCAGAAAAAAAATTATATCCAAAACTACAAATGACGTTCACCAGCCGTAAGTTGTTCTCCACCTCTGCAAAAGATACTCTCCCTCATCTAACCACCTCCATGTGCTTTTGTGGAGTAAGGTATACTGACCGCAGCCAGAGGACACCGCTTTCCACACGGATACAAGAAAATATATTCAAGGGAGAAAGGAAGGGCGTGCAAAGCTCTATTTTAGAACACTTGATCAACTCTTGTCACTCTACCAACCTTGAACATGATTTTAAGATCATCATCGATCGAATCCATGATAACTTGCCGCGTTTTCTTCGTCATAAACTTCTAAAGACAGAGGAGGCTTTGGTCATTCACGAATCTAAGCCAGATCCCTGTGTACAAAAGAAGTATGTACAATACTTAGTTCTACCTTGGCCGCAGAGGGATAGACATTTATTTATTTCGTTTATTTAGTTAATCTATGTACCTTTCCTTAATTACTACGATTATTATTATTGCTATTATTATTATTCTATTTTGAATTGTTTCCACTTGTCACACTTATTATTCTAAATCCAAGCAATGTTTTTACAATGTCTAACTCTATCTTATCACATTTCACACCATGTTACGCAATGTTTTATATTAGCCTACTAACCCTATATAATTATACACCCCTTTCCAACATCTATACATCTTATGAATTATTCTATATATGACATTAATTGTTTTCGATAGTTGGTTTGTAAGGATTAGTTTTGTTTTTACGAGTTGATCACGGATTGATATCAGTCAGGGAGAAAACCATTGAAAACCAGCCACAGGGAGTACTGGACAGCTGTTTCATCTGCCTAGTTTGGGAATCATCGGCAGTACCCATTAACTGGGGTTCGAACCCCAGGACCTTTCGCTTTAGCCACTTGACATTTAACTATGATTATATAATCACAAATATTTTAATTGCGTTTCCTACTACTATTATTAACATTACTTCATGTATTTACACTTTTGATTCAACCCCCTCACTGGATATAATTTCTTATTTTAAAAAAATTACATTTGTATACGATTGTACAGCTTGATAATAAATTCGTTGAAAAGTCTTTTCTTCGTTGAATATTGTGCTCTTAATTAAGTAAAATTGTAAAACACGTAGACAAACAGAAACCTGTGTTAACTGGAACTCATGAAGTATAGAAATCAGCGAAAAAACTATAGGAGAAGAAACAGACTTCAAATGCATTCACCTTCATTGGCAGTTTAACTAGGCTATCATAAATCATAATGCAATGTTATGAGTATAGAACTTCAGTACTGTGGTAGAGTACAATTCCATCCATAGTTTTTTTTTATTCCTTTACGTTCCTAGTGGAACATAGGGTGGCTTCAAGCTAGAGGCTTGATGTTTCGGTAGCAGTGGTGTTTATTTTTACGGAATGGGGCTGCTAGCCTCATACCCAACCTTCCCTCTTTACCAATCTAATTACTAGCGTTAGTGAGGTAAAGGAGTGGAGGAAAAATCAATAGACGAGGCTGTGAAATTACATCGACTGAGATGCTTAGGACATGTGTAACATATGTCTGCCTAGCCATCACCTTTCTTCGCCCGACGGGTAATGTTAGCTGAATTAAGGTCAGGTTGGAAAAGAGCCAGTTGTGGTCAAACCAAAACGTGGCTTCATCAGTCAATGAAATCTACAACAGCTACTTTAAGCCACGTAGGAAGATGTAGACTTCCTGACTGGTTGGGGTCCTCGGGACGGTAAGCAACAATGGTTTGAGACAATCGGTGATATGGCTCAAAATCGTTCTCAATGGCTGGCGCAGATGCATCCACTACTTGTGACTTATGATTTCCGATTAAACTATATTGTTCTCCATCATTACTATTCCTTTGTCTCACACCTCTGTTTACTGTCTATATTATGCATTTCTTCTACTTTCTCCTCTTGCTTTGTGTGCTATATGGAGTGAGGCGACTTGAGCTGCTGCACATCGGCGCAAAGTTCTATGTCGAAAACAGACAGACAGACAGGGGTAAAGGAATGCGTCGGCCGTGGATCGAAGCCCGGACCGCATGCGTGGTCGGCGTATATTCCACCTCTCTGTGCCACCAACGCATACACAATTCCATCCTTAGAGTAAATTTATTTGATGAAAGCATACGATGATAGAGTATTATTTATTTACAGACGACGCTTTGATGAGTAGAATTTATTGCTGCTCATAATCATCACGTGAAAGGCGCACTCATATAACAACTTTCACATTTCTCTTATAAAGTACCACTATTTTTTCATTTTTTGATTTTATTACTGTTGTTACTGAGTTATTTGTGTTGCACGTGTTTAGTGTAGACTCGATAAAGAACAAAGAATCAGTGATATGAGGAAATGACATCTCAGCAACCCTGTGTAGGATTTTTAATGACAAAAAAAAACCAGAATTAGGCTGGGATTGAAACATACATGCTATATAGGCTGTGAGGACAACTCACATAAGTGAGACCGTAAGTAGATCGAGGGTAATCAAGTTATAGAAGTTTAGCGAAGTGTAAAATGAATGACTCCATGAAGGTAGATAGTTTAGAAAGAAACTTAGCAATCACAATGCATGCACTGATATACAACCATACACACAATAGACGGTGGGACAGACCTACAGTTATAATAGAAGTAATATAAGCAGATGGGGGAGTGGGGTGGGACGAAAATTGATCATCGAATCTACGCCTAACCATATGCAATAAAAATGACTCAACACCATAATACCAGAGATATGGATAATAATACTGCCAATAAAATAAACCACAGATTCGGCGGCCTGCTTAAAATTTGGGCTACTAGAAACTTCCATCTCTCTATTGCATATATTTTCTCTTCTTCGTTTTGTTTTAATCGATTAAGATATAATCTCTAATGTTTCTGATTCGCAAGTTCCTCCTAAACTTGAGGAAAGGCCTGATTGTGGGTGACAACTTGTCCCAATAACCAGATAATTGTTCTTCAGTTATGTCCTTGCGTCTCAAAATGTACATGCTCTGAACATCTTACAATTGACTTTCAACTAGATATTGTGGATTTCTTGAAGGAAAAGCAGATATATCACATCATAGTGGAATGGTTTGTCCTTCAGTTCAGAGGCCATTGTATAACACGATATACTGTCAATTAATATTTTACTTGAAGATATTGTACGAAGGGAAAATATCATTCAGTAAACTCCGGTGAAAATTCTGTACATTTTATGAATACTGTTCAGAATCAAGATGCTATTATTAAGAAAGTAATAGTAATAATAAATAACGGAATTATACAAACAAAGATTGAAAATTATGTGATAAGTGCGCCTTTGATATGATGATGAGCAGCAATAAATTGTACACGAAACGTCATCCAGTAAGTGAATAATACTGTATCATTGTGTATATGCTTTTATCAAACACATGGACAAGTTCAACTTTAAGCAGCATTAACTACCAATGAGCGAATGACCCTGAATAGTCCAGTGAGTTTCATGCACGTGAGTTAAAGGTTGTATTTCGCTTGATTCGAGTCAAATGCCCGCCCTAACGCAGCTGTGGTTGCAGTCTGCTGAGGATAAAGTTTTCGAGTATCCCTTGGATGTGGAGTTGCTTAGGAAGGAGAGGATTTGTTCATGTGGTGGTGTCATGAGTTTAAAAAGCTTTAGCAGGTCGATTGATGGATATGTCCATTGTTGTGCAATTTGCTTGAGACGAGTTAGTATTAGGGAAGGTAAGCTGATGATTTTAATATTTCGTAGGAAAATATTTTGTTAAGTCGCATCTCTCCCTAACCCAGATTTTGTATATTTGTAACTACTGGGTTTTAAAACAGTCTGTGAGAGGAACAGCTGCTGAAATCGAAAATAGCCTCGTGTTAACAGTTCAGTGGTACCAGCACTGCGGAGACATCGCCTCATGGAAAATGGAGAGAATTACTTCGTTGTTAGGCGGAGAAAGTATCGTCGTACACTTGGATGAAACCCTCTTACTAACAATGTTTGGGTAATCGGCTTATATGACACCTCCCTATAGAAAGGATTCGTTGAGAGAATAGCAGATAGAAAGTCAAGTACTTTGGTACCTTTTATCTCTCGACTGGTGAAACAGGGATCTATAATACACACTAATGAGTGGAAGGTTTATAACTCCCTGTCTTCCCTTGGATATATTCATCACAGAGTGAACCATTCTAGTGATTTTGTGGATCCCAATACAGAGCCACAGGCGAATTCTATAGAGGGATTTTGGGGAAGATTAAGAAACAGGATTAGGACTATAAATGGATCTCAAAAGGGTGTTATTTATAGTCATTTGGATGAATATATGTACAGACTGCGGTGTAACTTTTCTACTGATACTCCAATGCTAAACTGGGAGATGTTCCTGTCAAATATCAGAGAAAGATACCCTACAGTTTCATGCAGTTTATATGCATACGTTTTATATACGTTTTTCATTACTAAAAATGCCTCTTTCATGTGATTCGTTCGTTGAAGGTAGTTCGCTGATTGGTTGTTAGTGGTACTTAAAGTTTAGCCTTGCCAAATACATTTATTCTATGATGAAATAATTCAGAGTTGTACATTATCATGTCTTTAAAGATATACATCGACCGCCCAGTGTAGTTAAGGCCACCATAGACGCTTGTTGTTAAAATGACTGGGTTCACAAACAGCTGGACTTGAAAGCATGTAATTTGAAAACGGCATCGAAACAATAGTCATGTAAAAAATAACCCAATCTACTGTTTTGACCAGAACTACGACCTAGTCATGTAAAAAATAACCCAATCTACTGTTTTGACCAGAACTACGACCTAGTAGACTATGAGCGAATCCTAACTTAATGCGTCGGTTAATCTGTCCTAATCGCACGTCAACAACAACAAAAACAACAATAACACCGCCTGCATGCTTCTACTGTCTCAAAGAACAGTCAAAAATATCGACAGTGCTTGCGTATATATATTTTCAAAATGACCTTGAGAGGCATTGAAGTCATTGATAAATTGAACCAAAGGGATTTCAAAGGTCATAAGTAGTGTAAGAGAAACTTAGGTCACAAATCAATAAGTGGTGTAAGAGAAATACAAACAGACATGTAAAAATGACATGTAGAAATTAAGGTCTATATATATATATATCATCTACAATACCCATCATTGCCTAGATCTATATAATGTTGTCAGAGTAAAAACTAGAATTACTTCACAATATGCTAATTAAAACAAACTTTACAAAAAAACTGAATATCGCTCAATCGTTATCGAATAATGAAAACAAAATACATAACAGGAAGAAAATTCCAAGATAGCAAGCAGTCCTTTTTCCTGATTAGAATATGTACTAAATTTAAAAATACGCCTAGTGTACAACAATTTAACCATAACCCATCTAGTTGCCAAAGCTGACACTTGACTAAGTTTTCAGCAATATAGAACTTCACACAGATATGTACCAGTTCTGAAAAGCCACACTCTTCATATACCACACAAATGTACGGGAGAAAGAATAACTAATTGCATGGAGCAACTGGAGGATGCAATGTATCTAGGAGTTAATATGGAGCAAATACATCTTCGGCACTTGACAGGGATTTTAAGCAATAATGCCGGCAGTCCCTAGAGCCTTTCGTTGTTAGCATCTTGAAGACCAAAGTTACACTAACTAAAGGAAGTTTGACAGTTGATTGGTGTTGTTTGAAAATCTTACACCACATTTTAATGGTTTGGCTCAACAGTTCGGTTCATATCCGTTTAGAAACTAGCTATCTGGAAGAGACTTCTCATATACTCGGCGGTTGAGTTACACATAATACGTAAGGGACTGATAGCATTAAATATCAGTACCCCCAGGTTCAAGTGAGTGAAGCCGAGTTCGATGCCGGGATCAGTTGTCTTCAACCACAGGTAATTGTATCAAAACCTCTGGTATGAAGTGATATAATATGGTGAGTAATAGTGAGGTTATGCGTAGAGTGTTAAGTAAGGAGAGCAAGTCAATCGATGAGGACATGAAGCTCCATCGATTGAGACGGGTGGGACATGTATTGAGTATTCCAAGCAATCGACGTCTATATTGAGAGATATCAACTGACGTAAGATTACGCTAGAAAAGAATTAGAAGTGATCAAACCAAAAGCTGGCATCAATCAATCTATGAAGTGTTTCACAGTTGGTCTAAGGCAGCCACATAAGGAGATGTACACTGACTGGTCGGAAGACCGTTGGTGATATGACGCAGAAACGTTTTCAGTGAGTGGCTCAGATGCATTCAGTCTTCTCAGTCATCCCCAGATTCATTATATCCATATATTTCTCCCATGTAACTGTTTTCTTTTCTCTGTACAATTCTGCTCATTAGAGTTTTCTTGGAATTTCTTTCTTTTTCTCTACCCTCTATGGAATGTAACAACTTGAATTGCTGCACTTCTGTGTAAAGTTCTATGTTGAAACTCACTCAGTCATTAACACCAATTACCTTTTTGATAATAAAATGAACTGATTACGGATTGATATCAGTTACAGCACCATTGAAAACCAGTATTGAAGTACTGGACAGCTGTTTCATCCTAGTTTAGGAATCATCGCCAGTACGCATCCACCGGACAGGGTTCGAACCCAGGACCTCCCGGCTACAAGGCAAGCTCGCATGCCATTCAGCCACTGCGGATGGATGTCCCACCGACCACACTGGTTGGGGTCGCGCTAAAATATCACGAATTGGTAGAAGTTAGAATTCATGGAATGGTCACTGAATCGGGTCCCAGTGGCTGAATGGTATACGAGCCAGCTTGCTTTGTAACCGGAAGGTCCTGGGTTCGAACTGTGGCAGTGGGTGTGTACTGCCGATGATTCCCAAACCAGGCTGACGAAACAGCTGTACAGTACTCCCTGTGGCTGGTTTTCAATGGTTCTCTCTGACTGATATCAACCCGTGATCAACTCGTAAAAACAAAACTAATCCTTACAAACCAACTACTGAAAACAGACTGAATTTTTATAACAGAAAACAATTATCAGAAAGATATATTCATACACACATAAGCTTATACAAAATACTCGAGCAAGTTTTCTTCCTTAAAAATATGACGAAGTTAAATTATAGCAACCATCAACAAGAACCATCCAAATGACTTTGAAAAACCACTGATTACGCTGTAAAAAGCAATACGTTAAAACTGGTGAATTTTTTTTGATAAACCGTATTTCGAAACTGTCTATTAGTACTAATTATGTGATTGACTGCTGCTTTAAGGCCAGTCAATTTGTAATGTATTTTTGCCAGTTCTTGAAGGTGGTTGCTATATAAATAGACATAAATAGAATATATATATATAACGTACCATTTCATTGACAAATTGTACACGTATTTTCATACGTAGTTGTGGTGAAGTTAAATTGGCCAACTGTTGATATCCATCCTAAACAGAAGTAAAATGAAATACAAAAAGAATTGCATTTAAACAAACAAATTCGTGAATTGACAGAAATTACAATTTATGGTCTGACCATTGGATCCTATTCCGGTTGCTGAATGGTCACCGAGCTCGCCTTGTAACCCACAGGGTCCTGAGTTCGATCCCCGATTCTCATTAGTCACTGATTAAAAGCAAAAAGTTGCCTGGAGCTCTAGTGAGAAGTCTTAACTAGTAGAGTCCACCATGTCAGATGTGAAGACAAATACTAGCTGATGGACATTGGATGATAGTCGCGCCATATATTACGAATTAGCAGAAGTTAGAATTCATAGGCTAGTCATTTGATGATCTACAAACTTTCCTAGTAATCAAAGGGTTCTGGGAGCCTACTGCCAAAGAAGTTCCACACTAGAACGAAATAGTTGCCTCCCTCCCGTAGTCTCTGAACCTAAGTCAATGCAAGAATTAGTGCGACATTATCCTTCTGTCTATCCCAAGCAAAATACTAAATCGCACCATCCTGGAAAGAATCAAACAGGCCTTGGATGAAAAACTTCGACCGGAACAGGCTGGATTCAGGAGAAACAAGTCATGCGTCGATCAAATCGCCACACTACGGATCATCATTGAACAGAGCTAGGAGTGGCAGTCAGCTGTCTATCTCAACTTCATAGACTTCGAAAAAGCCTTCAGCAGACAGCGACGATAAAGAGGTGATTTGGAAACTACTTCGCTACTATGGAGTGCCGACAACAATTATACATCTCATCCAACAGCTGTACGACAATGCTGCCAAGCAATCCACAACGGGAAAATCACGGAATCCATCAAAATGAAGACGGGAGTAAGACAAGCTGGCTTCCTACTTACAATCTCCAATGATATTCCTGATCGCGATAGACTGAATAATGCGACAGACAGCGGGCAGCGAGGAGACGGGTATAAAATGGACCCACACAAAAACTTGGAGAACCTCAACTTCGCCGATGATATAGTCTGATTTCCCACAAACTGGAAGATATGCAAGTGAAAAGCAACAAGTTGGCAGGAGGAGCATCAAAGACAGGACTTCAGCTGAACACAGGTAACAGAGGTGGTGAAAGTTCCTTGCCAACAACAACAACAATTAGCATAAATGGGAGGAGTGTGAAAGAAGCAACCTCCTTCACCCACCTACCTACCTACCTGGGAAGCATCGTTTCAACTACAGGTCGACGGAACTGATGAGGATATCAAAGTGAGGATCGGAAAAGCAAGACAAGCTTTCATTTCTCTCAAGTCTGTGTGGAGATCAACAGCACTCAGCATCAAAAATAAGATCCGTATTTTAAACTTCAGTGTGAAGTCAGTGTTACTATACGGATCAGAGAATTGGTGCCACATCACGAAGGACACTTCCAACAAACTACAGACTTTTATCAACTTTTATCTTTGCTCACTACTCAAGATCAGATGGTCGGCCAAAAGAGATCAGCAACAGGGATCTCTGGGAACGAACCAACCAGGAACCAATTGTGGAACAAATATGTGGGAAGAAACGTAGGTGGATTTGCCATACTCTGAGTAAACCATCAAGTGACATAACATGTCAGGCTCTCGAGTGGAACTCAAACGGGATGGTGCAGTTGGTCGTCCGAGGGTGAAATGGAAGAGATCATGCGAAGAGGAGATAATAGCACGTGGGCAGACGTGCAGCCAAATGAAAACGTTGGTGGATAACCGAAAGCAATGGAGACGTGCTTTTGAAGCCCTATGTTCCTCTCAGAACTAAGAGAGACAATAATAATAATAATAGCCTCTGGTTTTCAATGGTTCTCTAACTGATACCAGTTCGTGATCAAAAACTTGAAACCATTCAAATCTCTACAGACTAGCACTTGAAAATAATATTACATTCATGCAATGAAAAACAGCAGTTCGACTTACTTCAACAATACGATTTCTATGCACTGTGATCACAGCACCAACTGGGCCATCATCTGTAAGCCAATTAGTTCGTGTATGTATCCCCAGGGATGCTTTATCTTCACGTACAAAATCTCGAAAAAGGATAACACGCTATTAGATAGATTGGATAGGATATATGTTGGAAAAAATAAACACTTACCTCTTTGTGTGGTATAATATGTGGAATATGCTTTAGTAGAAACGTTGCATGGGGTTTCGGTTTGCGTAAATCGGAGAGAAAAGCTGAAACTTTGAGATTACTGACGTCAGTTAGTTAGTTAGTTTGTTTTTGTATGCCAGGACGATTGATTGGTATTACATGGGAAATAAAGCAGAAAAACAGTAGATACACTTTTTATAATTAGGGTATATAAAATTATATATGTATATATATACAGAGAGAGAGAGGGGGAGAGAAAGACAGATTGATTGATAGGTAGGGGCGTTTAATCCCTGGTTTGATACATACCGAATCCTATCAGTTGAATTCGCAATGCGATCACCAAGCTAGGTAGCTTGCCATCACGGTGTACTCTGAATTTGTGTCAAAAGGTTGAAAGCAATTGGCAGGAAGTTTTGAATCCAGGTTTCGTACTTGTCGGAAGTCGTCAGCAAGGCGTACCTGCAGTCTTGTAGGAACTCATGCTCTCCTCAACCACCTAATATTAAATGATAGTTTGCCCCTATAGCGAGTCACCTAGCCTGGTCACCACGTTGCAAACGTGACGGAAGGAATTCAGTCTGCATCAAAACCAAGGAGACTGGTTACTCCCTACTGACCAATTTAAGTTTCCACTACAGTTTTATTGTTGGTCACTGGCGAGTTTGAATACTCTAGTAGTAACACATCTCTGGTTGCAGCATCAGGTAACGCGAGTTCGAATCTCAGAGGACACATGAGTTACTTAAAGAGTGCAGACAAGCCTTACTAACAAGTGTCAACAATCACAAAACCTAGATTGAGGACCACCTGCTGATAACCTTCAAACATTTAATACAAATATATATATATATATATTCTGAAAGCGGTAAATACAGGTTAACTATCAGTTACACATGGATTCATAGACAATGAGTGAAATCTCTAATGTAAAAAGGTGTATTACAAACTGCTGTCTTAACTGTGGTAGATGAAATAACGTTTAAGCCTTTGGATCTTTAGGGTAAAACCTAGGAGCCAAATCCACTCAGTCTCAGAAGTCAGAAACTCACCTCCTAACCGAAACATATTTTCCATGTACCAGGGGGGTTATGAGTTACACATATTGTGTGTAAAAGCCTGAAATCATAGCAAGTTGTCTAGAGTGGTGTAAACGATGCATGACCACCCATTGCCTGAAAGTAAAGAGTGGTGAAGCCAAAGAACTTGAAACCAATCAAATTTGTGTAAAATAACACTTGAAAATTAGTCTAATGCCCACTTAATAGTGATTGATCACACGATGAAGTTCTCTCGGGTTCTAGTGGCGTTCACACCAGCCAAAGTGGGTATAAAAACAAATACTCGCTGATAACACTGGTTGGAGGTGACCTTATATATCATGAAGCCAGCCAGAATCAGAATGGCAAGATACGCTTTCATCAACCTAAAACCAGTTTGGAAATCATCTGCACTATATCAGTCAGTCAGTTGTTCTATACGGGTTAGAAACTTGCACTGCGTGTCAGTCACGAAAAGGATTTCCAACAGGTTACATACTTTTATCAACAGTTGCCTTCGCTGGCTCTACACTGAAGGTCAAATGGTCAGCCGGTTAGAAACAATAAGCAACAAGAAACTCTGGCTGGCAACAAACCAACAAGTGAGAGTCGATTGCTCAACAAATAAGTAGGAGAAAGTGGAGATGGATTGGGCACACGCCAATGAAACTGTCGAATGAAATCACGCGCAGTGCAGGCCATCACTCGAGTGAAACCCTAATGGACAACGACGATTGAATCGTCATAGAGTGACGTGGAGGAGATCGTGTGTCTAGGAGGAGGTGAGAGACTATGGGCGATCGTGGAGAGCCCCAGCTGATGAGGACAGCACAAAAATAAAGCACAGTGGAGATGTGTTGTTGAAGTCGCATGTTCCACTCGGAACCCAGAGAAATAATAATAAATAGTATTAATATTAAAAAAAGAAAGTATAAGAAAGGCACAGTAAATAACAATCCACTTACGAGATTAACCAAAAATTTTCCGGTGTAAATGGATGTCGACTGTCACGTTCATAAATCACAGATAATAATCGTAAACAGATTGTAAATAAATTAGGCATAGTTGACGTACAACAATCCATAGTTGATTGAGCTGTTGCTGCTGCCTTATTATTATTATTAATAGCTGGCATACCACTACTACTAGATAGATTCGGTTTATTCAATTTATTATTATGATTATTATCTGTTGTTTTTGATGATGCACTCCATAATTTCAGCTGGTTAGCTTAATAAAAAGAATAAAAGAGAGGGAAAAGGAAATAAGTGCGATACAAAGTGGATATTTTGGATAAATTATTATTCTTGTTATTATTGTGCGTCGGCGGCACAGCGGTAGAATGCTCGCCAACCACGCCTCGGGTGCTTCGGGGAACAATCCCCGGCCACCGACGTACTCCTTTACCTCGCCAACGCCAGTAATAAGACTGGTGAAGAGGGAAGGTTGGGCATGAAGCCAGCAGCAACCCCATCCTGTAAAAATAAACACCACTGATACTGAAAGAGCAAGCCTCTAGCTTGAAGCCCTATGTTCCCCTTTGGGAACGTAAAGGAATAAAAAATACTTTAAAAATTCGCAACAGTAAAGGTTACAGTACAAATTTATTAATATATATAAGTAATCAAAATAACGTGTTGTCGAGTGTTAACTGGCAAGGATTTGAATGACTGATCACGAACTGGCTTCATAGTTAGAGAACCGCTGAAAACCAGGAAGTACTGGTGGACAATTGTTCTGTCCCAGTGTTCGGGACCACTGATTGCTTTCCTTATTTTCTTCAGGTTTACATAACTTTATCAATGGGTATTTCCAACTCTATTCCAGATCAAGTCAAAGACTAGTAAAAGTCTCTCGTTAGAATAAGTTCCTATTCAGTCACTCACTTAGTAGTAATCCGAAATTTTAAAGTTATCCACCTTAGAGAGAAACAGTTGAAGTTTTCATGGGACATCTTATCAAGTGAAGTCAACCGATTTGGTAATGAAGAAATTCGCTTATTGATAGATTTTTATCAGGAACCAACATCAGTTAGAGAGGCCATTGAAAACCATGGACCACTAGACAGCTGTTTTGTCCCTCCTTGTAACTCTTCATCAGCGCGTACCCACTATCCAACCAGGGATCGAACCTGGGACCTTCATGGTCGTTGACCATTCAGCCACTTCGGGGATCGGGATGCAATGACTTCTGGATTCTAACTCTATCAAATCGCATATTCAGCAGTTGACAGTAACCTTAGAGGGAGAATTGACACAAGTTGTGAAATATAATCCCGATCTACTTAACTGATTTTTTAGAGATTGGTCACGAATTGACTCCAGTTAGAGAACCTCTGTAAACTCAAGGAGAAGTGGAGAGCTGTTTCGTCCTAGTTTGGGACTCTTCAGAAGCACGCTACCATGACCTCACCGGAAATCGAACCTAAGACCATCAGGTTACAAGGCAAGTTCATTGACCGTTCAGTCCGTCGGATGGAATCCAAATGAAATCAATCCGTGATGAACCTTCATACCAATGAATTCCTTGTTATTAGATGGTTGGAGGTTATCGATAGGAAGCCAAAGACCTAGGTTTCGTGCTTGTTGTCACTCGTTAGCAAGACATATATGCAATCTTGAAGGAACTTATGTCCCTTCTGAGATTCGAATGCCTCAGTGGTAACGTCTCTGACTGCAGCACTGGATGACACGGGTTCGAGTCTCAGAAGGGACATGAGTCCTCTCAGGATTGCAGATACGCCTTTGCTAACTGGTGAGTGCCAAATAGCACGAAACCTAAGTCCAGGGTTTACTACCGACTGCCTCAAATCGCCCAACAAAAACAATTTATAGTTTACCGTGATGACGAGCCACCTAGTATGAAAGCCACATTCCACACTTGAGTGATAGAATTCAGTCTTCAGAAAACACAGGACTAAACGCATGACACTAGTTATTGTCCAGTCAATCAAATCCTTACTAACACTGAAAAGGAATCCAATGACATAATAGTCGATGAGCTTGCCTGGTAGCTTTGTAATGACAGAAAACAACAGCCAGGCAACAGATTGTTCATTGAGGAAATCAACAAACATTTATAGATTTTTATGTACATTATTACTAGCGTTAGTGTTAGCAGAGAAGCAATGTCTTCTGATTGGTTGTTTTCCTGCTGAAGGTTATCCTGTCATCCCTTTGTTGCCGTTTCTTAGACAGTCCGGTGATATATCTGCGAATCGTATCCGCTCACGCTAAGTCTGCTGTGATTGGTTGTTGAGTTCCTCAAGGTCAGACTTTGTTCTTGTCTTTTCTCATGCCCCCGATTTGGGACTTAAACATTGACCTAAATTGTTGCTAACAGCTGTCACCACAGCCTGAAAGTCCCCAGTCCAGCTCCTAGCTGTGGGGTAATGGATGCATACCGACGAAGAGATCCAAACTAGGACGAAATATTTGTCCAGTACTCCCTGGTTTTCAGTGATCCGCTCACTGAAGTCACAGCTCATGATCTATCTTGAGATCAAACAAATCCTGTGCAAACCAATACTTCAAATTTTTTCCTTTCAAAAAACGGTTATTTCATGCTGCTTTCATACCAGTTACACAAATATACTGAAATTCTATCATTCTCTTCAAATGAGCAGGTTATCTTCAATTTATATGTGAAAGTGTACAGATTCAGAATCTATACATCTAATTAAATAACTTTTTGATGCGTCAGTGACAGTGCGCCATTAACTTTCATACAATAGCATAGCTGTTCTCAATGTGATTGATGTGACTACACAGATTCACCTACCACAGCTAATACTTTTGCATCACAAATATGTAAGATTGATGTGAGAACACAAAATCATGTACTATGTACTGTCAAGTTATTGATATATATAATGATTAAATCCGGTGCTAGTTGAATTGTTATTTTTTTTTAGTAAAATTTGTTTTCTTAAAATTAACGAAATATTATTGATTTCACTTGGCGAAAATCAGATAGACTGATAGATAGAATACGTGTCGTGTCTTTAGACGCCTAATTTATGATCGCGGATGCGTTCGTCGATCAGGTTGACTGAGAATATGCAGATGATGTAGTCCTCCCTCCTAAGTGAAGACGCCGACCGACAAAATACGGAGTCTTCGAAACACCTTGACAGGCAGCAATCTTCGAATGTTTGGAATGCGATTTGCTCACGTCCAATATAAGATGACATAATGCTACAGGACTAAACTAAACTGACTCATTCCTAACTTAAAGATAGGTAAGAGTGAAGTGGTGACTGAGCGTGTTGATCACATTACGTATTCAGAAAGTTGAATCAGCCAACCCCAACGGGTTATTCGATGATGAAATCTCAGCAAGGATACAGAAGGCTCATTTGGCTTATGTTAACTTACGCTATCTCTGGCTTAGTAGACATGATTTCTCACTGGGTATCGGGCAAAGGAAGTGTTTACTGCTCAACAACATTTTGCTTAATCCTCGTTTATAGCTGGCTGTGAGACATGGCCATTGAAAGTGGGAGACATGGAAAGGCTGGCTAGCTATTTTTGATCATAGATGTCTGAGTTCTATCTCCCGTGTTAAGCGGTAGGTGTAATAGGGTGAGCAATATTGAGGTGAAGCATCATCGGTCGAGTGCTACGTGAGGAGGGGAAATCAATCAACGAGGTTGTGAAGTAGCTGCATCGAGAGAGATGGTTAAGACACGTGTTACACATGCCTGCCTACCCATAACCTTCTGTGACAACAGGCAATGTTGGCCAACTGACACAGGACAGATTACGTTCGAAAAGAGAAAGCTACCGGTGGTCAAACCGAAACATGACTTCATCACTCAATCAAATCCACAACAGTTAGTTTCAGTCAGTCAGTCAGTCATATTTGGAGGTGTAGACTGCTTGACTGACTGAATGGTTGACGTCCTCGGGATGGTAAGAACCAATGAAGGCTGGATGGAGACAGTTGGTCACATAGCTCAAAATCCTCATTCTCAGTGATGGCGCAGATGCATTCACGCTTTGTGATTTATCATATCCAATGAAACTCTATTGTTCTACTTTCCCTCACTTACACTTCTGTTTATTATCTCTCTCTCTTTCTTTTAAACCACTCTTTACTCTCTTCTCTTGGTTTTTGTGGTGCATAGAGGAAGAGTGGCAACTAGAACTGCTGTATATCTGTGCAAAGTTCTATGTTGAAGCCAGTCAGTCGTGGATACGAAGACAAAGAGGGTATCCGCTTTGACCAATACTATTATGACTGTGAAATCAAATCGAATGTTTCCACTGAACTGCTAATTTACATTTCTTATTCCATTCAACGCACTCAATGAATATTGTTACGCATAAAGAAGAGGATACTTTACTCAACTATATTCGTTATTGACCTCAATGGAAAACATCTATATTTGTATCTTTAGTTGGAGTGACCAATAGTCAGTATATGAGCATTCGTACAGAGGTGAAGCACCTCAATTCCGAAATAGTACGGAAGTATTTGGAACTCACGTGCATGATTTTGATGTAGTTGTGTTTTCTGAGCTGGTTTGCTTAATAACGAGGTTTATATTGTCCCCTTAAAGACATCCTCCTTAGTGCAAGCTTTCATATGAAGTGAAATTTGAATTTGAATTCTCAGTTAGTGATATGATTGTATCTCCTGACAACTTTTGTCGTGATTCACTGTTAATTTGCATCAGCATTGGTCGTTCAACAATACATCTCCACTCTCTTCTATTTTCTGCCATCCTCTTCAGCTGGGCCTCTCTATGATTGCCCATAATTTCTCATTTCCTCCTCGGCCCATGATCTCCTCCATAGCACCCTCGTACTGACGACCCACTAGTCGCTTACCATTGGGATTTTTACTCGATTGATGGCCTGCATTATGCGCGATGTCATTCGACGGTCTCCTCAACGTATGCCCGATACATCTCCGTTTTCTCCTACATATATGTTGACCAATCGTCTCTTGGTTGGTTTGTTGCCAGACAGAGTTACTTGTTACTAATTCTTTCTGGCCAGCCGGCCATTTGATCTTCAATATGTGGCCAGCAGAAGCAGCTGTTGATAAAAATCTGCAACAGTCTGGTGGAAATGCTTTTCGTGACGCGGGCTCCAAGTTTCTGATTGACTTCACACTTGTGTTAAGAATCCGAATCTTGTTCTTTATGCTGGTTGAGTGTAGAAAATTTCCAAACTGGTTTCAGATTGATGAAGGCGTATCTCGCCTTACCGATTCTGCCTGGCAGGCTTTGACATCTTCGTCTATTCCAACTGCCTGTGGTTGAAACCGTGCTTCCTAGATAGGTGAAGGAATTAGCCTCTTTTGAATTTCTTCTGTTGATGGTGATTGGTGCTGGTTGTTGTTGTTGCTGTTGGTTGGTTATCTTCATCACCTTCGTCTTTTCTATGTCGATCTGGAGTCTTGTCTTTGCTACCCGCCTCTTCTGCCAGTTTGTTGGTTTTCGCCTGCAATTATTCGAGTTTGTTTGACGTTAAACATAAATCATCTGCGAGCTCCAAAGCTTCCAGAGTCTTCTTTTCGGTTCAGCGTATTTCTTTTTTCCCGCTTCCAGAGCACAGTCTGACGCATGACTCGTTCCATTTACACAACACTAAAATATCCTCCAATAAACGACCTGGTACGGCATGAGGGTGGGTAGACATTCGTTTTCCCCTCCAAATACTCTCATGTATCCAAACATTGACAGTCCCTACTAGGTAAGTTCTATTCACATTACCTTCGCACGGCGATAGAGGTTTTATTCACAGAAGTCAATTTGCGAACCCGAACGTCTGGCGCTCCCAGCAGGATTGATTGACATGCAAGTTCACCTAGAGGAGCTGGAAAGCCCTGATTGAAAACCCTATAGTGTATATGGCCTCTACAATTTGAAAAGATCGAATAGCGTATTAACCTGTTTTGGTTGCCAGAAACCAACCATGAGAACGTATCTCCTCACATCGCTCCAACACCTTGTGGATCAGACTTCAAGCCAAAGGCCCCGAGGATGGACCCCTAAGACAACTACCTGATTGGGACTGGGCATCCAAGCAGTATTCAATTCAAGCTTTCGAACAAACTATGAGATTATGTGTGGCTCGTCGCTTGGTGCTCATAAGATACCAAGTTTGGGTTCTAATGAATAAATATTACACCAGTAAAATATCCTGATAGGTCAATAACTGATCAGATTGATTGAATGAATCACGTGGACATATCAAGCACATTTTCTTACCACACTGTTAAGTTTCAAGAGTTAATCGATAGGAAACCCTGTAAGAAGTAGTTCTTATGCTTGTTACAACTCATCACCTACAACCTTGACGAAATCAAGTTCCCACAGTGGTTCAAGGGCATGTGAGTTAACGCCAAAACTGGCGATTCTTATCACATTTAGCTATATCTGGACTACAATTCAATCCTTACAAATCTGAATCATATACACGTTATAGTCATTCTACAGTTATCAATACAGTTATATAGACATCAGATTGGTCAGATAAATAAATAGCATGCAAACAGCTAAGATATTAGAACAAGGCATATACAGGAAACTTACGGTCAGGTACCATAATAACTGATTCATAAATCAAGTGATTGAAAAATGAACCCATTGAACACAATTCATCAACAGTAAATGATTTCTTCAATTCAAATAATTCTGCATCATCTAGAATGCTAAAACATACAGGAAATTAATATAAAAAACGTACAATAGAAGATCTATTGAACAAATTATAAATCTTACAAGCAAATAAAGTAATTTAACTGTTGGTAAGATTTACTTGAGATATCCTTGGATTGACAGACTAATAGTGAGGTGATAGGTGATAAGTAAAGAAAAAGCAAAATACGGAATCGTGACAGGATTAAGAAAATTTCTCTTCAGATTATTATAGCTTGACAGACTCTGGCAGCTGAGTGCTATGAGACCCGATTTCACTGTAATTAAACACAGGTGATATTTGACTGTTTCACGGAATACCTGAAACGGAAGCGGCATTAGTGTGCCGTGATCGCAGAGTACATAGGAAGACTAACTGAGGCCCGTTACACACAGCTTAACTGAAGTGGTTCCTTAGAGTTGTGCATGTAGTAAGATTTTACCGCCGGTTACGGACCGCGCCACAAGGTGATTCAGGATATACATGATTTACGGGATCGAACTTTCCTAACCCTCTCCCCGTTACCCCGATCTCCGGAGAGAGGAGAAGCGGCATATCCGGAATGCTGGTTGTTATCTGAAGGAAGCAACATGCTGCTGTAACACCTCTGTTCACCGGCAGTAAAATTTTGTCCACAGACCCCGAACATGGTGTAAACAATTTGCACTATGATGGTAACCCTGTTTAGTCTAATTGCAATCAAATTGACCTATCTGGCATGGTAGGACCTGAGGGAACATTAGTTCCAGCTGCTATAGGTATTCTCCTATCAATTCTCATCACATAAAATTAGGAGAGAAGTAGGTTGCTTGTTGGTAAAATGAGACTATGACTGACAGACTGGTTTCAAAAGAGAACTTTGTACAGATGTGCAACAGTGCGAGGTGCCGCTCTCCCTCCATGCACCACACAGAGCAAGCGAAGAGAGTAAAGAGAGATTCAAATAGACACACAAAGAGAGATAATAAACAGAAGTGTGGGTGAAGGGAAAAGAATAGTAATATGGAAGAACAATAAAGTTCTATTGGATACGATAAATCACAAAGAGTAAATGCATCTGCGCCACCACTGAGAAAACGAATTTTGAGCCATATCACCAATTGTCTCCATCCAGCTTCCATTGGTTCTTATCATCCCGAGGACGCCAACCATTCAGTTAGTGAAGCAGTCCACACCTCTCTACCTGACTGGTTGACTGTCTGAAAATAACTCTTATGGATTTGATCGAGTGATGAAATCATGTTTTGGTTTGACTACCACTAGCTTTCTCTTTTCCAACCTGAACCATCTTATCTATATCAGCTAACATTGCCTGTTTTCGAGGTAGGCGATGGCTAGGTAAGCATTTGTGACACTTGTCCTAACCATCTCAATCGAAGCAGCTACTTCACAACCTCGTCACTTGACTTCCTGTTCTTACCTAGCACTCGAATGATGCCTCACGTCAATATTGCTCACCCTATTACACCTACCACCTAGCACGTGAGATAGAAGGCTGACACCTATGATCAAAGGCAGCTAACTAGCCTTTCCATGTCTTCGACTTTCAATCACTATGTATCATAGCCAGCCATACAGGAAGAGGTGGGAGTGAATTTCTGAGCAGTACACACTTCCTTTGATCGATAGCCAGCAGGACATCACGTCGACGCTGGAGATAGCGTAAGTTGGCAAACGCCAAACGAGCCTTCTGTATCCTTGCTGAGATTTTGTAATCGATCAACCCACTGGGGTTGGCTGACGCAACTTACCAAATAAGTGATTTGGTCAACATGCTCAGTTACCACATCACTCTTGCCCATCTTGAAGCTCGGAATGAGTCAGTATACTCTTGTCCTGTAGCATCATATCATCTTACCTTGGACGGGAGGGAATGGAATGTCAAAGATTGGAAGATCGCTGCTCAAGGTGTTCAGAAGACTCTGAATTTTATCAGCGTCTTCACCTAGGAGGGAGGACTATATTATCCGCATCTTCGAAGTCAACGAGAGTATTATTTCCTGGTAATAAGTTAATCCCTGAGTCGCAGGAATCAGAGTTAGGGCTAAGTCCTCTAGTACATCTATGATAGAATTAAACAGAAATGGGGACAGTCGACATTCTTAATGGACACACCACTGATTGTCATCACTTCAAATAACAGCTCCCTCGCTGTAGGCTCTTAACTTCGAGATATGAGATTATGCGAGATAGCTTTGGATTAACAGATTGATAACGATGAAATGGGTTAATTGCACAAAAAAAAGTTAAAATAAAGAAAAAAAACTCTAACAGGAGTGGAATTATGCTTATGATAAATAGACTTAATTACTGCTACCTAAAGAGTTTATCTAGTAGTCATGTCTAATCTCAGTGTATATAATATTTCAAAGACTATGCATCTATCACTGCCATATTGCTACTTTTAAGCCACTTAAACTCTCTCTCTCTCTCTTGTAGTGTGTCTTTAGATATCCTTGGATAATTACACTTTTATAACTATCCATCAGATTGCTATTCACTGTTATACAATAACTTTAAAGCTATCGATTAAGAATTGCCTTGTTAAACATATTTTTCATTCAACTGATTGTTGTGTTGTTTCCCACCCACCCCCCACCCCCAGAGAAAAGCAATCATTCTTAGCATAGCATACTTACACGGCAAGAGGAATTAGGCTACAGTGAAGATGACGTAAACAAATAATGATAATAAATAATAATAATAATAGTAATGTAGCTTAAATATTCTAAATTGCAACTCTATTTTTGGAAACTTCATTATCTAACGGAGAAAAATGAAAAAACAAAACATTATGATATCAATAAAATTCACAGAATTACTGCATGAAGAAGGTGAAGAGAGAAATGAAGGCAAAGAAGTAAAACTAATCTAGATGCTTTAACGAATCTGAAAGTACTAGCGCTACTCCTACTAATAACACTAATCGCTAGGATTGAATAGCCAGACAGAGACAGATATATATAAGCAGTGATGAGCATCACTTGATTAGATGGAGGATTTCATCATGAGTTGATATTAGTTAGAGAACCATTTGGAAACCAGCTGGGAGTACTGGACAGTTGTTTCGTCCCAATTTGGGACTCTTCATCAGTCAACAATCAAATGAATACTCATTCATGTGAGATCTGTCTATTGAAGGGAGATTAATTATGCACAAGCAGATAACCACACTTTAGCGTGATATTAGATGGTTGGAGGCAATCGACAGAAAGCCTTGGACCTAGGTTCGCACTGCAACCTTGAAGGAACTCATGTCCCTCCTGCTGAGATTCGAACCGGCATTGCAAACTCGACTGATAGAATTCAGTCTGCACCATAGAAAGGACTAGACACATCATACTAGTTACTAACTAGTGTCCGATCAAACTTTAGTGTCTTAGCTCAGCTGAAGATAAAAGATATGCTATTACGTTACACAAATAAGCTAAATTAAATGGTTTCAAGCGTTAGTTTGTAGGGATTTTATTGTCTTCAAGTGGGATCACGAATCAGTATTAGTTAGGAAGAACCATTGTAAATCACGGGGGAGTGCCGGACAGGTGTTTGTTTTGTCCTAGTCTGGGACTCTGAAGTCATATGTATCCATTACCTTAACCCAAGACCTTCAGGTTACAAGGTTAGGCTCACTGACCATTCAACCAATCGGATTGTGCATGAATTCTAACATCTGCCAATTTGCGATTTTTAACGTCACTGATATTCGTCCATGATCCCACTTGGAGCTAATTAAATCCATACAAAGAAAAACCGGAAAATCAATCTGATAGTTACTACCGGAGGAAGTTGTCTGCAGTTCCAGTGAGAAGTCATGACTAGCAGGACAAGTACTCGCCGATGATAGTGGTTAGTGGTCTCGGTATACATCGTTAATTGAGAGAAGTTAAAGCTCACGAATCACTGAATCCCATTCTAACGACTGGATGGTCAACAACAACCTCGTTTCGTAACCTGCAGGTCTTGGATTCGATCTCCCAGGAGGGTAATGGCCGAGTCTTGCTGAAGAGTCTCAAACTAGAACGAAACATACGTCCAGTACTTTCTGGTTTTAAATGAATTTCTATCAGTCCGTGATCACAAAGAATGTGTTCGCTTCTAGTTCACACCAATTATCCTGTATATTTGAATGGATAAAGAAGACATCTTATTTCGGTCAGTGATCGGTTAACAAAACTTACCTCTTTGGTTCACACATACTTAAATGGACTTGCCATCGCTTACAAAACAACAAACTGTTACCTCAACACTTATGCCTAGTTTTTTTATTTAATCGTTTTAACCATAAACTAAGGAAGCATGCAAACACTAATTCTGATTCTAGAAATTGCTAGTTTGGTAAGTCTCTTTTATATATATATTTATATATATACATATATATATATATTGACAGCTGCCTCTGCTTCATACAGGAACTCACACGGTCGGCGACAAGGATTAGTGCAGAGGAACTCTAGCAATTAACCGACTAGGAACCTATTGGCTAACAAACACCTAGAAGGAAATGGAAATGGATTGAACATATGCTAAAGACAGCATTGAGTGGCATCAAGTGACCACCGGCTCCCGAGTCGAACTTGGACGGGGAACGACGAAGGTAACATACAGGAGATAGTGTGAGGAAGAAATGAAACCCTACGGACAATCGTGGAGCCAGGTAAAAGGGACTGCAGAGAATAGGGTGAAATGGAGATTTTTCATACAGACGGTTTCCTTTATTAGTTTGAATAAAGAAAGAACGAATATTTAATTGAATTTTAGATTTTCCCGTCGATTGATTGAACCGAAGTGCTCAGTCACAGGTTGACATGTCGGCTTCTTATGCAGATGCTTCGACCCGTTGCACAAGAGGTGGCCCTCGTGGTCAAGTGGATAACGCTTTGGCGTTCGAAACTATGGGCACTGGGTTTGGAGCCTCGGTGGGAACATCATCACTCAGAGAGGAATGCAGGTACATCCAGATGACTAGTCCCGAATAGGACTAAATGCGTGTTGTCCTGGATTCCACTGCTAGTCACCATCCACCAATTAAAGAACGAACATATTTACAGGCAGGATAATACGAGCTAGTTTTATTTCGTGGATTCTCTCTCTTCAGTTGCCTACATCCTTAACAATATCAATTATATGTTACAAAATTTTCCTCAACATACTTTTTACAATAATTTCAATTTATAGATGGAAAGTATAAGCAACATAATTATCTCAAAGATGATGTAAATAGATAATTATTAAGTATTAAAAGAGTAACTATTCATATAGTGATTAGACAAGCGGGTGGAGTTCAAATTCCTCTTGAAAACAAGGATGGACTAGAAACAAAATACAAGATAGAACAACAGAGCATATTTATACATATTACGGTGGGGATTTAAGAAGGGTGGGGGGTGAATAGTAAAGTAAAATTATAAAATATAGATAAAATAATTTAATTTAGTAGTAGGTTTGGAACCCTAGTAGTGAGTTCAACTCAGTCAGTAAGAGAAAATCAGAATCAAGATTGAGCGGAATATTATGCAACAGAACAAAACACAAAAGCACACACACACTGTTTTGTCCAGAAAATTCTGTAACATATGAATTGATTTAAATTAATAAACCCCACTGAGACATAATGAAAACAACGAATTCAGCGAAAATTCTCTTTTTGACGATTTCATTTTCATAGCTGTACAATAGACAATAACAATCAGTTTTCTTGTGTGTGTGTGTGTGTATGTGTGTGTTGAAGTTTGACAGTGAGTGGAAATACTAAAGTGCAATAATATCGGTGTATGGGGTATCCACTACGCCTCGTAGAGGCCAATAGCAAAGTGTATGGCAGAAGTACATAGATTGATAAGGTAGCTAAAAAAGTATTGCGCCTAAACTTAGAATTTAGGGGTGAGACTACGAGTGTGGCACTTAAAAATCGTCTGACAAGATCATTGATGATAACATCCTTTGCTGCCACTGATGCATCTTAATGTCGAGACAATGTTACCTCGATTGTCTAATTCTGTGTGTATCTATATGTTCCCCAGCTCTTTCGAAGCTAGGTACATAGGACGTTCGTCGAGGAACATATCCCCCCAGCGTTGGAGATCACCTCCAAGTTGGGCTGAGCAAAGGTGAACGCAGAGGTATTCATTCATGCATATTGCAACATATTATAGATACTGACCACGCAGCATCTGACACACATCGTTCAATTTACTCTACAAAGTCCGACAAAGTTTGCCGACAAGGAGAGCACAACTGCATTTGCTTTGTATAGCAGAGGCTTTGGCAATACATAAGATGAAGCCAGAACTTTGTGTACAAAACCAGTTTGTGCCATCTCTTTCGTTACCATGGTCTTCATTTCAATATGTAATTCACATAAGACAGATTCTAGAACATAGGCATTCCTACCGGCTTCCAACAATCATTATATTTCTTGACCTAAAGGCGGCATTCGATTCTGTCGACTGAGAGCTACTCTGCCGATGCTTGGCTGTAAAGGGAATGCCGAGAAAATACATTGCACTGATTAAGGCACTCTACTCGAATTCATGCAGTCAGGTGAGGGCTTACGGCGAGTTGTCATCTGAAGTGGTGACGACTAGTGGGGTCCATCAGGGATGCCCATTATCCCCATTCCTATTCAATTTCATCATAGATGTACTAATGGACTACACTGACTCCTAGTTTAGAAATAGGGAGTGAAGTGGTAGAGCACGTTGACCACTTCACTTATTTGGGGAGTACCATCAGCCCCAACGGGTTGATCGCTGACGAAATCTCAGCACGGATACAGAGGGCCAGTTTCGCATATGCCAGTTTACGCCGTCTCTGGCGTAGACGTGATATCCGACTATCGACCAAAGGGCGGGTGTACTGATCAGCAGTCCGCTCCGTCCTTTTTTATGGCTGTGAGACCTGGCCATTGAGAGTGGAAGACATGAAACGATTAGCTGTCTTTGATCATAGATGCCTGCGTTCTATCTCCCGTCTGAAGTGGTATAATAAGGTGAGAAATATTGAGGTTAGGCTTCGGTTGAGTGCTAGGTAAGGAGGGGAAATCAATCGACGAGGTTGTGAAATTACATAGACTCAGATGGTTGGGACATGTGTTACGTATGCCTAGTCATCACCTTCCTCGACGGGCAATGTTAGCTGACATAGGATCAGGATGGAAAAGAGCTAGTGGCGGTCAAACCAAAACATGGCACCAGTCAGTGAAATCTACAACAGTTAGTCTAAGCCACATAGGAAGGTGTAGACTTCCTGGTTGGGGTCCTCGGGACGGTAAAAACCAATGGTTGGAAACAATTGGTGACATGGCTCAAAATCGTTCTCAATGGCTAACGCAAATGCATCCACTCCTTGTGACTTATGATTTCCAATGAAACTATATTGTTCTTCGTTATTACTATTCCTTTGTCTCTCACCTCTGTTTACTGTCTATATTATGCATTTCTTCTACTTTCTTCTCTTCCTTTGTGTGCTACATGGAGTGTGGCGACTTGAACTGCTGCACATCGGTGAAAAGTTCTATGTCGAATACAGACAGACATGAGAAAAACTTTGATATCCTTCGTTACTCCATCTTCCACTTTTGTTTTATTTCATTTCACTTTATGTTATATTCTAACACTTTATGTAGTCTACTAGTTTGACAACATGTCACTCATCCTATGTTTCCATCATATTATATTCACATATTCACATTTCCGAATGTACTTTATTTTCCGATCATTTATTTCATTTATTTAGGTTGACCTATACTTATTTAGTTATTCCTGCATATATACTATTGATTTACTTGGGATGTATGCAGTTGAAGAGAGAGACCACGAAATAAAGAGAGCTCGTTTAATCCTGCCTGTAATTATATTCGTTCTCTCCTTTATTCAAATGGAGATTAGTTGTTAAAGTCATATATTCCACTTGGAACCCAAAGGAATGATAAATATAACAGAGTTTTGCGGTTAAAGACGAATCGACGCCTATGCCTAGTGAAAGTCATCCCAATTATCAAATCTGCAATGGCCGATATATTTCACAAGCAATAATAATAACCGCAAAGATGCAATACTATTTCAGTGGTGAGTAAATATATTAAATGAAATAATCAGAAAATTTCTAAAAAAAAATACACGAAGTATCTCACCTTAATAAATTACTTGTAGCTGCAGCAAATATTTGCATTAAATGTGATTCATGCGGTTCCAAGTAGTATACTGATTGTGAATTCATAATCACATTGGCCCAATCACGTACAGATCCACAACAAGAAATTAAACGCCACATACGAGGCAATAAATCGCCCAGTGATAAACCTGTGGTAATTATTGAGATAAAATGAAATTAAATGAAATCGAATCCCGGTGGGTGCGTACTGATGAAGAGTCCCAAATTAGGACGAAACAGCTGTCCAGTACTCCCAGGTTTTCCAATGGTTCTCTAACTAATGTCAGCTCATGATGAAAATCCTGTAACCAATCAAACAAAATCCCTACAAAACCAATACTTGAAAAAGAGAAAAAATTGTCTTTCCTTGCCCTGGTAACTGTATGCCTTTATTCCCTCTTTCATTTGATTACGTAATCCTTGGCTTTAACCTCACCCTCACCCTTTGATATAGTGTAATTTTGCTTGTCTATTGTTTTTATGATTTCAGTTGAATTCAATACATTGTTACCCAATTTATTAATTAAATTAATCATCTTATGCACCTCTCGTCTTTATTACGTAACGCCTTCACCGTTGTATGCATACATTTACTTTGTTTAAGCTTGAACTCGTTGTGTAAAAGGTGTATAAGCGTAATTTTCTGAGCATTGTTCACTAAGTTTGGAACCTCCTGTCAACTGACATCATGAAAAAAATTTGCAAATATGATAAAACTTTTCTGTATATGATCGAACACATATGAGAGCTAATTTATTGGAGTGTGCAGTCGCATATGCTGAAGTAAATATAAGGTGGACTTCAAATCTAAGACTCTGTGTAGCTGAAAATGTCTGTCTCTGTCTGGATTCAACATAGAACTTGGCACCGAAGTGCAACAGTTCGCGTTGCCAAGTTCCAAATCGCACACAAAGGTAGACAAGAAAATGAGTGAAGAGAATCAATAGAGTTTTGACAAGTATAAGAGTGAAACAGAATGAGTAATGGTAGAAAGAAATATGAAAGATTACAGAGACTGAATACATCTGCACGATTGACAACGATTTCGAGCCATGTCGCCTATTGTCTCCAGCCATTGATTCTTAGAGTCCCGAGGGCCCCAATCCGGAAGTCTGCATCTCCCTACCTGACTCAGTTCAACTGTCAAGGATTTCATGGATTGATGCCATGTTTTTGTTTGGCCACCACTTACTCTTTTTCAACCTGCACCTATATCAGCTAGTAATGCCCATCGGGGGAGGCGATGGTTAGGCATGCGCAGCACGTGACCTAGCCATCTCAATCTATGTAACTTAATAGCCTCTTCGATTGATTTTCCCTCTTTGCCCAACACTCTACGCCTAACGTCAACATTACTTACCTTATTATACCACCTAACGTGAGAAAGAGATCGTAGACATCTATGATCAAAAACAGTCAACCTTTTCATGTCTTCAACTCGTATTGGCCATGTTTTAGAGCCATAGAGAAGGACGGAGCGAACTGCTGAGCAGTACACACGTCCCTTGGTTGATTGTAGCTGACAAAGGGAGTATGAGACCAATGCATCACACACACTACTCAGTGACAATAAAACAAAAAACTTTTCCAAATAGAAAAAAAGAAGGAATTCGATTGACCTACCAGCTAGAATAGCACTCCTAATTTCTTTTAAACTTCCTGAAGTAAAACAATACAGCATACAAACAGCTTTCAGTGATTTCGGCAGATCACTTGGTCCAGGACAATCTGAACGTGTAGTCGAAAGATTCGGTACATAATTATTCATTCTCTCCTTTTTACTATTTTTAAATCGATTACGATAAGTTGATGAGTTAGTTATTTGACGCAGGAAATTCGACAGACCATGACGAACACGATTGGCATAACCATCAACATCAGAAGTGCTCGATCTACCACCGCCACTAGTCATCATCATTCGTGATTGAGGAGGCAGTAGACCAGCTACAGCAAGTTTCTCTGCTTTAGACGGTGCACCAGGCCCAGGAATAGCAGAACTTGAGCTACTTGGACTCGGTGGATGACCTGCAGTAGACGGATTTCCATCTGATCCTCCACTGCCTTCAGGTAGACTTAATTCAGCTTGTGCATATAGGTCGGCGAATAACAAACGGACCATTCGACCATTCCATAGTAATCTTAATTGACTTGTTACAAATGACATAGCTGCTTGTAAACTGAATACAACAAATTAATATAAGAAAATTGAAAAAAAAGAAAGAAGAAACACTAACCATCAATCACAGTGCTTTAATAAGGTGAATAATATATGTCACTCAAAAGTACCAATCAATAGATATCTTATAACCGGTACTGGATTTCATTTTTTTTTCCTTCATAGCTCTATCGAGGAAGCGAGGAAGTCATTTAGGCAATCACATGCAAGCAATTTAATACCCAAGCAAAACTTTTATTTCCCTACATCACTCAAACTTAGAAGTCAATGATGGCATAAGTTGGTTGATGTGATGTCTTGATTTAGCGCATCCTTAGTTTCTCTTTTGTAACTTAGTCCTACTTATTTCTGCTAAAGTCACGTTGGGTGGGATTGGTGCAGGCATGTGTAACACGCAATCCAAACATTAAGAAGACGATAGAGATTTATAACTTCTTAGATTGACTTACGCACTACCCACCCCCCTTACATAAAACTATATGTCTAACTATCAAATTACTCACGCGATAATTTTACCAAATCAAGGACACAATGATAAAGATAAATAACATTCGTGAAATACTTAGTGTTTTTATAGATCTGATTAACTTGAATAACCATGTTTCACGAGCATGCAATTAGAGAGAGCGCACCATAGCACGGTGGACAATCTCCGGTAATATAAGTGCCTTACAGGATTTTATTATGAGATGACATTGATTAGAGAACCATTGGAAAACCAACTGAGAGTACTACTGGACGGATGTTTCAATCTAGTCTGGAACTCTTCAGCAGCACGCAGCCACCTCAAGGGTCGAAGCCAGGGCCTTCCGGTTACAATGGGAGCTTGTAGACCGTTCACATTATTCCAACTTGGAATTTTCAAGATTTTGGAATTCATGAACTAGCAATCGGATCGGGTCCCAGGGGATGAACGGTCTACGAGCCCACCTTGTAACCTGAAGGTCCTGGGTTATAACCCTGGTGGGTGTGCAATAGTGAAGAGTTCCAAACTAGGACGAAACAGCTGTTCAGCACTCCCAGGTTTTCTAATGTTTCTCTAATCGATATCAGCTCATGATGAAATCCTGAAACCAATCAAATCCCTGAAAACCAACGCTTGAATAAGTACCTTAGTTTGACAAAAACCAAATGCAACTTTTCTATCTGTATCGAGATCATATTGGACTGTACAGCTTGAAAATGAAGTCGTTGAAAAGAAATTTCTTCTCTGAACAAAAAACATGAATAAATGGGTATTTTTCGTGATCATATTAGTCATCGAATCACTATAAGTGGTGGGCAACTGAAACGCTTAATAAATTCAACCGCTCAAATCAATAAGTACTGAAGAAGAGAGATGCATCTAGCAAATTCTCAACATGGAACTCACGATTTTGTCACACTTTCCGCTCAAGGCCGTATCGTTCGGATGTTAAACGGTAACTAGACAATTCTATTCTAACAAAAAGTCAATTCCTACGTAGTTAGATGTGTGAAAAAATCTCCATAAGTGTATCCATTATAAAGTCAAATAGAAAATGGGAGGATAAGCATCTTCGATAAACACTAATCGATATAGACAACTCATCAGATGACTCATACGTGTTCGGATACTTCGAAAAAAAGATATATGCTTGGTAGACATAGCTTACAGTGAAAAACAGAGTCAGAAACAGTCTACAGGCCAAAAAAATGCATCCAGTATGAGGTGTCTGAAGTTACTTTTGTATCTCAGGATCAGAAGGAGGTGGAACATTTGATCAATAAACCTAAAGTATTTATATCTGTATGATTTTTGGCGGTTTGCTCACGAATTCTGTTTTGGTGTCTCATAACAACACTGAAATCTAAGAATTTCGAAACGATGTTAGTCCAGTTACATTTTTTATGGACATAGGAAGAGAGCGGCTAGAGACTGGCTGAACTGCTCCTCCTAAACGGTTTCACTAACCCCTATTTTTAAATGCTAGTTAGTCTCTTTTATTGTTATGACCGCTGCCTTTTCCACCTAATTAGATCTCACTGCCTTCCCCTCTTTACTGCCCATTATTATGAGCTTAATCTTCCATTGGACTCGAATCATGAATGAATTCTTTGGTTCTAAAACAGCCGCCGAAATTCACCCAGACAACGCCAGCAATTTTTCAAGGATTTTGTTAAACACTACTCCAAGATGTGTAAAACTATCAAAGTTCACTGTTTAGGCATTGTCTTTAGAAAGTCATTTTAATATTCTAACCAGCGAAGTGAACTGTAGATAGCCTTCCAATTTTTTTTATCTTCTTGGGTCTACTAAGGTACAGTCACGTGTGCACAAACTGGTACATAATCACTATGAGAGTAAATGCTTCAGAAGGTAATCTTCACCTAGACCAGTTGAACAATAACTGTTGGTCATACGGTCTATTTAGGGGCTGTAGTTCGTTGGTTTAGACCCACAACTTCCCAGCCAGTGGGTAGCGGGTTCGAACCCCGCCCCACGCAACGAGTTTCTGTCAGCCCCAAGTGATACAACCAGATCTCACACAATAGGTGTGGTTCATTGCCTAATGCATGGAATTCCAAGTGATTGTTGAGCAATATTGAATACTACAGTTCATTTGGACCCATCGCTAAGTTCAGTCTAATGTCTGATGACTCTTAGTTCTGAATTCTGTCAGGAATAGAAAGTTATTTCAGCATTCATACTATTAATATTTTAAGTATTCATATCCAATGGTTCTCTAACTGATGTCAGCTCATGATGAAACCATGTAACCAATCAATCAAATTCCTACAAAGCAATATTTGAATATCAGTGAGATGCTCACTAGTAACTGACCCTGTTCAGGTAGGTACTCACCTGGGTTCTAGTGGGAAGTCGTGACCAGTAGGGTGCAGCAGGTCGGGTGTGAGGACAAATACTAGCCAAAGACATTGGCTTGCGGTCGCGATATGTCGTGAACTGGCAGAAGTTAGAATTCGTGGGCTGGCCATTGGATCGGTTTCCAGTGACCAGAAGGTCCTGGGTTCGAACCCCGGTGGGTGTGTACTGCTGTAGATTCCCAAACCAGGACGACAGAAACATCTGTCCAGTACTCCCAGGTTTTCCAATGGTTCTCTAACCGATGTCATCTCATGATGAAGCCCTGTAACCTATTCCTACCTTTGTCTAAATTTTCTCACGGGATTTAATTTCCAAAAAACCATGCGTTGAGAAGCGTCTCTTCGCTGTACATTGTGTTCTTAATGGAAATTATTAAATTATTTGAGCAATGTTGTAGAAAACAATCATTTATCGTCTGGAACTTTCATTTTCATTTAATCCGTCATCCTTAGACGCCACCGCCCCACCTAATGGAGTGTAAGTAGCTTACACTACTTTTAGTCTTGTCACTACCGGACTAATCTTCCTGGAATAAGAGGATTTTCCGAAATAATCTTTCTAACTAAAAATAGTTAGTGATTTATTTAGGTATCCAGATTAAATTTATTTCTAAGAATAACTCAATTGGAATATCAGCAGTCTGAGATACAAATATTTCTCCACTATGTGTTGCTGACGTTTACGTGCCTAGTTTATCAACCGATACAATAATGAACAAATGGAAAATAATTCAACGACTTAAAACATGCAAGAACTTACGAATTATCTAATGATTGGGCAAACCAACCAAGAATCGGATGCCAGCTACAAAGATTTGACTTTTTACTGCCAACGTAAGTTCCCAAATAATGCATGAATTTAGATAACACAATCTATGTAAATAACATTGAAAAAAAATAGTAAAGTTTTATTACTGAATTTGATTTCTGTTGAAAACTTGATTAGCTATAAGATACTGGCGTACCTAAAGTAAGCCTTATCAAAATCTTTTGCAATCATAACTGTCAAAAAATCGAATAATGACGTGGACCATCCGATTACATGAGTAGATACTCAATCTCTAAACTGTGCATAACAGATCACTGGTTGGAGTCACTGAGACACTAAGAATTCATGGCTGAAGACTTTTGTTGGTGGCATCACATGAAATCGTTTTCAATGATGCAGATGCATCCCCTTGGGTTCCGAATTCAACATACGGCTCTAGCGGCACATCTCGAGTTCACTCTGTTCTCTGCCGTCCTCTCTAACTGACTCCGTGAATGGCTATAAGCTTTCATTCCCTCCTCACACGATCTCTACCATATGACGCTCAGACCAACTCCAGATTCCACTCGGGGGCCTGGTACATGTCTAATCCATCTCCATTTCCTGTATATCTATTGGACAACAGGTTTATGGTTGGTTGGTTTGTTGTCAATCCTATCTGACCATCTGATCTTCGACATAAAGGGAAGACAACTGTTGACAAAAGTCTAGAGCTTGTTGAAAATGCTTCTCCGGATGCGTCAACGAAGGCTCTCATACAGTGGATACCAGTCTCCTTCAGGATCATGACAGCAAGATTTAACTTAAAAGGAAGGAAATTTACAATTATCCAATACTACGCTCCTACAAACAACGCAGACCCCTGAAGAAGGAAGACTTCCACAGACAACTGTAAACAGTAACGGATAATAGGAGTGCCAGTCAGACTGGGAGCAGACAACACAGGGGGGCAGAAGTTATCATGGGTTAAGAGGCTCTTGGCTAAATGAATGCGGACGGTGGACTCTTTCAAGGCCTCCGTACATTCAGTGATCTTGAAATTAGAAGTAGCGTGTATAATCACAAAGATATATATAAGGCGACATGGGTTTCACCTAATGGACACATTAAAAATCAGTTAAACTTCATCTGAATCTCAACAGAGTGGAGACGTAGTCTGCTGGACACAAAATCAAGAAGAGGATCAGAAATGTGGGGCTGGCTAGGAGTATATAAACACACTACTAATTTTTTTAAGGGGAACAAAACAATTCATCAACCATCACTAACTTACGCAAAATTCTGTACAATGTGATGCCAAAATATCAGTTTCTAACAGACTCAATTGAATTAGATTTGCTGCAGAGAGACAAAAGAGAAGAAAACGAATAGAACTAATATCAGAAAGGTAACTCTTATGACAGCTTAGTAAAATACTAGTACATCCATAAATTCCATTTTTTATAAGGAAAAGGACTTCAAAATAAAGAAATTCACCGCCTAGTCATAAAGCTTTGATACTAGAAGTTAACATTGTGCTACTCTTTTTATTCATCAAAGTAGCTGAGTAACGAAAGAAGACAAGGGCCAGGCATTTCGTTTTATTTGGGACTCGCCATTATTATTCGTTGATATTAGCAGAGAAACAGCATATTCTGATTGGTTGTTTTCTCGCTGGAAGTTATTCTATCATCTCTTTGTGGCCACTTCTTTCAAGGTCAGACTATATATCTGCGAATCGTACCCGCCCACGCTAAGTCAGCTGTGATTGGCTGTTGAGTTCCTCAAGGTTAGTCTTTGTTCTTTTTTTTCTCACGACCAAGATTTGGGACGTAAATATTGACGTAAATTGCTGTCTACCCAAATTTTGGCTAGCAAACATCTCTCACCACAACTGAAGTAGACTTCAGCTGAGAGTCAGAGGTTACTGTATGAAGATGGTGATTGAAATTAAAGCAGAAATCTGAACTGCCACTGAATTCAAACTAGTAACTTTCGCTTTACTTCAATTTCGTTTACCAACCTTTTTGAATTAACACCAATCTATCAAGCTAACATTGTCTCTAAACTGACTGTATTTCAACATAGAATTTTGCACTGAGATGAACAAAAGTTCAAGTTACCACACCATATGTAGCACAAAGGTAGAGAAGAGAGAGTAAAAAGAAGTTTAAAGGAACTATAATGAGCTGAAATGTACATGTGACAAAATAATAACATGCCGAAACACAAAGACTTGATGGATCTGGGAGACCACAAAGAGCAAATGCATCGGCGCCACTGAAAACCACTTAGAGTCATATCACTAACAGTCTCTAACCACTGGTTCTTAGCGTCTGCAATAGTGAAGCCAGGCAGACTACACCTCTCTGTGTGTGGACCACTATCAAAGACTCCGTGGGATGATATTATGTTATGGTTTGACCACTTCTATACTACTTTCCGAACTAATCCTATCACAATTAGAAGTTAATTGGTGGATGGTGACTAGCAGTGGAATCCAGGATACGCATTTCGTCCTATTTGGGACTCGTCATCTGGATGTGCCTGCATTACATAAGAAGTGATGATGTTCCCACCGAGGCTCGAACCCAGTGGCCATAGTTTCAAACGCCAAAGTGTTATCCACTAGATCACTCGGGTCACGAAGCACCTGCACAAGAAGCCAACATGTCAACCTGAAACCGAGCACTTCGGTCCAATCAATTGAAGGGAAAATCTAAAATTAAATCCAATAGTCCTATGACAACTAACATTGCTCTTAGAGGAAGGTTGTGGCTGAGCATGTGTGATACATGTGCCAGCCTATATCTAGAATATGAACCACAGCGGCTTCTTTTTCTAATTCCGCTTGATTTTGATTGGACAGTTAGTGTGAAGAAAACGGGGAATGACGGTGAACGACCACACAAAGCCACCAGGTGAAGAAACTCTCAGTCTGTAATAGGCATCATAGTTCGGTCGATAAATTTTCGTAAGGATAACGTAATTACAGAGACCTAAGTTTTCTATCAAACTGATTGTAATTATTTTAAGAGATAATCTGTTAATTCAGAAGAAAGAAATTAAGCAAATACAATTTTGAAAAAAAATATCCACATTACGCCTTTAAAGAAGAAATGCTGATAAGCACACCTCTTCAGAAAGATATATTAGACAAATTGTCCTACGATGAATGTAAATGATTTACTCATAGTTAACCGGGAAAAGTGAAAAACAATGTGTGTATGTGCGTGTGTTAACAGCTTTTACCACCCATATCAGAGAACCCCGCCCCTTTGAAATTAGAGCTGAAATTAAGCAAAATGATAAATGGCTAGATGACCGATGACCTCTTTTGGCAAAAAATGAATTAGAGTTGGGTGTGACATTAAACCTTAAATCATCAATGGCGAACCACACAAGTGAGAGAGAGAGAGGGAGAGAATTCGTAGAAATAAAACAATAATTCAGTTTTCCAATGACATTCGGAAAAATTTTACGAATCACGGAAGGATCGTTACGCGCATATTTTCTTAACAAAGGACATCACATACAGATATCGTTAAGTTCTCTACTATGCTGGACGTGTTTAGACTAATTCGCTACACTAAAGTGACCATGATAAAACGTTCTCAACCACGCATATCCACAACAAAATCAATACCTTACATTTACGATGACCATACTTCAACACTACAATTCATTTGGACAATCCCTCACATAACAGCAATACTATAATACTATGGCCGACAAAAATAAATGTGAGAGGAGATAGGATAATCAATTGATTGGCACAAATGTTGGAATTGTCGGGAAAAAATAATAAAGATGATAAACATCATCACCTTCATGAAAAAACATTGTCATCCCCCCCCCCTCAACTCTTCATATCCTAACAACTTCCATCTGCCCCATGAAAGACCTGGTACAGCAAAGGATGGGTAGACTTCGGTGTTCTTCTCGAAATGCTGTCACCTTGCCACGTGGTCATAGCCTTCCTCTACCAAGTAAGTTCTATTCACTGCCTTCACGAGGCGGAAAGGGTGTTCTTCACAAGTCAAATTGAGAATCCGAACGTCTGGTGTTTACAACCAGGCTGTTAGCCATGCTGGTCTACATAGTGGAGCTAGAAAAGCTTGATTCCAAACCTATGATGCACATGGGTTCCATAATCCGAACACGTCGAATGGCGTATGAACCTTTATTGGTCACTGGTAACCATAGGAACGCGGCTTCTGACGCTGCCCCCTGACTTGTATATTAGGCTTCAAAGCCAAGACAATCACTTATTTGGGTCTGGGCGTCCGGGCAATATCCTAGCCCTCGCACAAACTATGAGACAAAAACATCTTTTGGTACCCATAATGTACCAATTTTGTGTTTTAAATATACAATAAATAAAGATATGACCTATTTCAACAGAGATTTCATGAACTGAATATATGTTACAGTCTAATCATCCTTCACTATATTTTATTACATGAACTGTGCTTTACAAAACAGGGGTACTTCAGGCAATAGAAGAATACTCAATACATGTCACACTATCTCAGTGTGTACTGCTCAGCAGTCCGCTCCGCCCTCCTTTATGGCTGACTGTGAGACATGGCCATTGAAAGTGGGAAACATTAAAAGGCCGGCTAACTGTCATTGATCATAGGTGTCTGCGTCCTATCTCACATGTTAAGTGGTAGGTGTAACAGAATGAGCAATATTCAGGTGAGGCATCGGTCGACTGCTAAGTAGGGAGGGGAAACCACCAATTAAGGTGGTTAGGCCATGTGTTACACATGCCTGCCTAGCCACCGTCTTACTCGACAACAGGCAATGTTAGCTGATTGACATAGGATATATCAGGTTGGAAAAGAGAAAGCTAGTGGTGGTCAAACGAAAACATGGCTTCATCAGTCAATCAAATCCACAACAGTTAGTTTCAGTCAGCCAGTCACGTGGGAAGGTGTAGACTACTTGATTGACTGGTTGGGGTCCTTGGAATGGCAAGAACCAATGAAGGCAGGAGACAATTGGTGATAATCCTCGTTTAAAGGTTATGGCACAGATGCATTTACTCCTTGTGATTTGTCGTATTCCAAAAAACTCTATTGTTCTTCCGTATTAGTATTCTTTTTCCCTCACTCACATTTCTGTTTATTATCTTTCTCTCTTTTGGATCTCTTTTTTACCCTCTTCTCTTGCTTTGTGTGTTGCATGGAGTGAATGTGGCCACTCGAACTGTGCAAAGTTCTCTGTTGAAACCAGTTAGTCGGTTAGGCAATAAAAAACCACAACCTCTTCGACATATTTATCTGACACTATTCTCTCTCAGAGTCGGTGGTTCAGCGGTAGGATGCTCGCCAACCATGCACGCTGTCCAGAGTTCGATTCTCGACCGACGCATTCCCAAACGTCGCTTAGCTGACAGTAAGCCCGGTAAAGAGGCGAGGTTGAGCGTGAGGCTAGCAACCACACCCCATAAAAACAAAAGAATAAAACCATTGCTACTGAAACTTTAAAACTTAGATGAAACTTGAAGCTATGTTCCACTCGGAATACAAAGGACTAAAAGAAATTCCCTCTCTTTCTCAATCACAGATGAATAAACCTATAAAGTCAATTAAGACCAAAGATGTTCAATCTTCTAGTGCCTTTAGCCTTTATTGGCTGTTTCTTGTACTCATAAGAAAGAACAGAGTGAATCATTCTCAAGTACGCTAAAATATATATATTTACTATGTATGGGACGGTCAAAACCCCAGATTGCCTTATCCCCCCCTCCAGACTTAAATTTGGAGCTACCAATAAATTTTCGCGTCGGTTTACAACTTTTGAACCTTTTCTTTTCTAGCAGTGAATGATTTCGATCGATAATTCATGATTTGTATTTATTTTTTTTTCTGAATTTTATAACTCACAAAACACTTTAAATCACTGCTGCGATATTCGAATTAAGTGATTTTAATTCCTTTACAACAATTGTAATTCTAATCCACTTAGTCACTAATAAAATCTCATGAAATTAAACAAATTTGTTTGTTTTTTCTCACTGTGAATGTAGTTATTTTTTTTCTAACTTTTTTCAAATTTATTACTAAAATCAAATGCACACGTATATACATAAATCCACTATAAAATAATTAAACTAGTCTAGAATATATGGTGTGCGTAGGTAACACAAAGGTAGAATGCTCGCCAACCACGTCACAAGTGGTTCGGAGTTCGACCCCCGGTCACCGACGCACTCCTTTACCTCGCCAAGCTGGTAATGAGATCGGTAAGGAGGGAAGGTTGGGCATGAGGCCAGCAGCACCCCCCATCCCGTAAAATAAAATAAATACCACTGCTACTGAAACTTCAAAGCTCTGGTTTGAAGCCCTATGTTCCACTGGGAACGTAAAGGAATAAAATATGTACATATATATGTCTTACCAATTAAACATAATACATAAGATCCTTCTAGACGAGATAGTAGGTTATCAAACTCTTCTGAACTGGCATACAAAGTAAGTATAATTCTGGAGCATAATCTTTCTTTAACAATAATATCATACGCCTACAATATAAAAAAGACGAGACGGAATAAAGTCTGGTGATTATGTATTAAAAACATTTTGATAAAAACTCATAGAAGGTATAAAAGTGTTTTGTTTGTTTTTCTAAATACTAAGTATGAACTAGTCAAATATAACCAAAACTAGAGATTAGAATTAACTATTCATGTGTATTAGACTATAAGGTATTATTATATTATATATTATTTTTATTCCCTTGGGTTCCGAGTGGAACATAGGGCTTTAACAACACATCTTCACTTTGTTCTGTTTTCTGCCGTCCTCTGGCCTGCATTGTGCGCGATGTCATTTGACGGTTTCCTCAATGTATGCCCGATCATATCTCCATTTTCTCCTACATATTTGTTGAGCAATCGACTCTTGGTTGGTTTGTTCATCGCCAGAGTTTCTTGTTACTAATTTCTTCTGGCCAGCTGGCCATTTGATCTTCAGTATGCAGCCGGGGAAGGCAGCTGTTGATGAAAGTCTGAAGTTGCCTGCTGGAAATCCTTTTCGTGACACTCTGGCCAAGTTTCTGACCCGTATAGAAGGACCGACTTGACATTGGTGTTGAAAATGCGAATCTTGTTCCTTATGCTGAGTTCAGAAGATTACCAAACTGGCTTCAGGTTGATGTAGGCGTATCGTGCCTTTCCGATTCTGACTTTGACATTTTCATCCATTCCGCCTGCTTCCTAGATAAGTGAAGGAGGTAACCTCTATTAAATCTCTCCCGTTGATGGTATTGGTGCCGGTTGTTGTTGTTGTTGTTGTAGGTTGATTATCTTCATCACCTTCGTCTTCTCAGACTAGAAGGTATACTGATTTTTATTGTACCTCGATTTAGTGTTAAAATTTTATCATATAAATAATGAGAGTTGTCTTTCCCTCTTGCTTCTGTTACGCATCATGTAATACCTTAAAGACGAAATACATAGAAACACCTCTGTGTTATAGCATGTTATGGCGAATTACTAAACCTCCGGTGGGTTGCTTGAGTCCAATGGCATCATCGTGTAAAGTACTCTGAGGTCCAGCAGAGTGTATTTGGACACAGTGAAGGTCATTGTGAAACAATGGCTGGCCTCGGTGGCTTAGATACGTCCTACGAATGTCCTCCCAGGGACTCGCACAAGGCTGTTCGCTACTTCTGGAACGGCGAGGTGGTAGTTAGGGTGGTGGTTGCGCTATAAATGGCAGAATTTGGAATTTATTGACCAGTGGATTGAGTCCCAGTGCTTGAATGGTCTATGAACTTCATTTGTAACCGGAAGACCCTGGGTTCGAAATCCGTTGGGTGCCTACTACTGAAGAGTCACAAACGAGGTTTTCTAATGGTTCTCCAACTGATGTCAGTCAGTGACCAAACCTGTAGACGATCACATTCCTGCAAACCAACACTTAGAAATAATAAAAGCGACTGAGTTGTAAATAAAAAATAAGTTCAGATAACACATTTTAGAGCCAACTTGTAAATAACCAACAAAGAATACTCATCACTGTTCGAGAATTATTGACATAACAGGATAAAAATGAGTAAAACAAAAACTAAATAAATTTAAAAATATACAATCACACAGTGATGAATATGTTGTGCTTACTTCATTCATCATTGAATTTATATGCAATATAAATCCAGGTACAGTCAAGATATTAGTTGCAAATGAAATTACTAGTTTCTCAGGAAACTTTTCAGATATCAACGGTCTAGTGTAGATAAAAATTAAAGAAATAATGAATAGTATATGTGAAAGACAATTGCTTGCTTAGCTTATGCATGATAAAATACAATATAAATCACAAAACGTTCTATCCAAATTTTAGTAAGTTAACGGTGACAATAAGATCATGATGCATGTTTGGGAATAAACGAACAAAAGAATTAATTTCTGGATATTATGTTTAACGGTCTATATCAGAATGCGCATTTCGTCCTTTTGGGAACCCATCATCTGGATTTATTTGCATTCTCAGTGTGTGATAGTGTTCCCACTGAGACTCAAACCCAGTACCGATCGTTTTAAACGCTACAGGATTGTCTACTAGGTAACTAGGGCGTAGATGTGATATCCGGTTATCGACAAAAGGACGTGTGTACTGTTGAGCAATCCGCTTCGTCCTCCTTCATGGCTGCGAGACCTGGCTATTGACAGTGGAAAACATGAAAAGGCTAGCTGTCTTTGAACACAGGTGCCTGCATTCTATCTCCCGTGTAAAGTGGTATAATAAGGTGAGAAATATTGAGGTTAGGCGTCGAGTGCTAGGTAAAGAGGGGAAATCAACCAACGAGGCTGCGAAGTTACACCGATTGAGATGGTTACGACATGCATTACGAATGCCTAGGTATCGCCTTTTCCGACGGGCAATGTTAGCCGACATACGGTCAGGTTAGAAAACAGCCAATGGTGGTCAAACCAAAACATGGCTTCATCAGTCAATGAAATCAGCAACAGCTACTTTAAGTCACGTAGGAAGATGTAGACTTCCTGACTGGTTGGGGTCCTCGGGACGGTAAACACCAATGGTTTGAGACAATTGGTGACATGGCTCAAAATCGTTCTCAATAGCTGGCACAGATGCATCCACTCCTTGTGACTTATAATACCCAATAAAACTATATTGTTCTTCGGTATTACTATTCCTTTTGCCGCATATTTCTGTTTACTGTCTCTATTTTGCATTTCTTTTTACTTTCTTCTCTGGCTTTGTGTTCTAAGTGAAGTGTGGCGACTAGAACTGTTACACATTGGTGCAAAGTTCTATGTTGAAACTAGTCAGTCAGTTAGTCAGTAAATAGGGTCATAATAGCCACCAAAATACTCAGTCTCGGTACAACATAATCAATCAACGGGAAACAAATTCTATATACTTCACCTCTGAGTAAAAAATGAGTATTTACTGGACAAACAGTTATTAATGTTCTCTAATAACCAATACTACAATAATAGTAAGTACAAGATACTCACTTTTAAAATTAACTACTCACTGTCTGTTAGAATTCTACGAACGCTTAAGCTTTACGATGCGACAGTGCATTCGTAGAAATGGGATATTTACAAATGGTGACTACTTGAACAGAAATCAAACATAGTCCAAACTTGCATCGTTTCGTAGCAGTTATATTGGCTATTCTGTCAAAAGTGATATTGACTAAATAAACTAGGCTTGATAGACATGGTCTTTCATGTTGCTTAAATGAAAACAACCTAATATAAAAGCAAAGACACTAACTGAGTTTTCTATACATTCCCATAACCAAGTGCATCAAACCAGTATTAGATAGGAATTGAACTCAACAAGTACATTTTGTTTCTTACTAAGCGTTGTGTAGTAACACTTGTTTTTGTATTGTATTGCAATTTTTAACAAATTTAACGAGTAACAGAAGTAGCGTCACAACTACAGATTGTCACCTACTAACCCTTTAACGATAGTGACATCAGGAATTTTAATATTACTCTGTTAAACAAAACTTGAAATCAGAACTAATGAAGTGGAGAGTTGAGTTCACGTGGCACATATACAGCTTTTCATGAACATACTGAAGTTGTATTATAAAGAACTGAATGTTAAACACTTCGTTTTGACGACGTAGGAACGGAAGTTAGTCTATGTAAGTCTATGCTGCGCTGAACTGCTTTCAGCTTCCGAGAATAAATTACAGAAACTATTCACAAAAATTTAAGATATTTGTGTGCATACGACACTAACCTCATAGCAATGGTGAATATTCCTGTCAAGGAGATTTTTGTCAGAGAAGGAGTATGTCTGGCTAAACCTTTTTGCAAAACAGTCTGAAACAAACAAATTTATCAACTACAATTGGGAATTACATTCAAATTTTCGAATAAACGCCTTTGAACAAGATGTTGGAGGAAAGCTGAAGCTAACTGGTTCATTGCAGGCTTTAATTTCTCATCTAGAAAATAAATAATTTAAAAGATAATCACCATGAAGGAGTATAGCTACATTAAGCTAAATTTATCTGACAAAACATTGAAAACTTGTGATAGAGATACTTAAGATAAAAATATATGCGATAGCAATCGATAAATTTACAATATCCAGTAGATAATGGTTTAGAGGTTCAAATATCACATCTTTACCTTAAATCTTACTTCGTTTATTGAATTCTAAACACTAATGACGAGCATTTTGAATTTGACAATTGGTACAAATGAATGGAGGGAAAAAATACGAATAAATCAATGTAGCCGTATATAGAAACATATAACTCCTTGAGAATGCTTGAATACGTTTTATTTTGGAAATAAGAAAATTAAGATAAATGATAACTTAGAAGTAAATATTTTGCTGTAAGATATGAAAAATCTATAAATTTAATTTCCTCCTGGCTAAGCTGAACACACTGGTTCGTGAAACAGAATACAAATTTTTCACACCCATCCCCATTGATTGTATTTACTAGTTGACAGAAGCAAATACGCCGAAGAAACAGGTCGGAAGGAAACAGTCTACAAAAAAAAACTTAAAAGCACTGCACAGTGGGTAATAATACACCAGTCGTGTCAGCATATGAAGGGGCTGTGTGAAAATCTTAAGACATGAAGTGACATTTAGACAAATTGAAATTAAAAGCGAGATGTGGTGTAAAATTTAACATAAAAATGAGTTATGAACACTACAACTCAGTTATGAAGTAAAGATTACTCACAAACTAGGCTGTGGCTGATAGCACTAGTCAGTTCTCCACGATGAAGTATATAGGGAAGGAATCGAACTCGCACTCAGCTGAATGACAAGTGCTTAAGCCTATGAACCATATGACACCATTATAACCAGACCGTTAGATCATAGATTTCCGCCATCTTGCAGTTCCCATTCAGGCAGCCTAATCAACTCAGATCAACCAGGCTTCATAGAATAGTACCCGGTCTGTATACGTCATCATTCGCTTTTTCCAAACTAATCCCGCTTCTGTTAACATAGAACATTGGAGTCAGAACTGAGTACAGACGGATAACATGTTCGAGTTACCCCAGTCAATGTAAGTTAACAATGTACCTTATCTCATTCCACACTTCACGTCAAACTTTCGCCCTGTGAATAAGAAAATCCCACCAAACAAAGATACTATACAGGTCATAGTAACCGAATAGTCAAAACATACTGCAATGCAATACACTTGATTTTTAATGTAAAATCAGTCGTCCCACATATACGAACTTCGCATATACTGCACAAACCCTTCGTATTCCTTCGGAGATTTCTTTACTATCAGCCAATAAATATGGTAAATCATATCATAAAGCTGTTATTGTTTTAGCCTAGTATAAAGAGCTCACTAGATTAGATAATGCATCCTTGGCCTCTGTATGACTAAACTGAGTCCACTGAAGTAGCCAGATAAAGAGGCTACATCTACTAAAACAGTACTGAATGTTGCTTCAAACTGTGTACACGCCTACATTATTACCTGACGAAATAAACTGAAGGTTAGTGATCAGTGGTTGGAAACTCAGTACTGTAGTTATAAATGTGTTTAAATAATTGCCACTTAACTATCTGTAGTTCTCACTAAGCAATTTACCAACCAGAAAACCACACAAAGAAAACCTAATAAGAATATAAAAGCTGGAACCATGTTAAGCGAAAATTGCACAAGAAAACTCACCCTGGATTAAAGACCATTGCGAGCAATTGGTGTGGATGAGTAAAAACGACAAAAAGACATTCAGTATCCTCGAATCACTGGGAACAGATGGCTAAAGGCGTGTGATGAAAAAACAAGTGAAACATACATCGATGCCATTCATGTGACTTAGGATCGTAGAAAACAGCCATTTTGTCGTAATTATCCACTCCACTAAGGTGGGTTTTCTTAGTGAAAGGGAAATGTAGGATGTCTAAATACTGTGTAACAACTTTATAAAATAACATACTTTTGAATCTCCAGCTTCCACTGAGTTAACTAAATATCGGATAAGCAACTGAAAGCGCTAGTTATGAATTAAATGCTAAAGATTGTCAAAACCAGCTTACGTCATAGTCCGACTTAGGACAATATTTAAACTGTAAGCATTTAATGTATCTTAACAGCTGAACAGCTTAAGAATATATTAGGAAACAAAGGCACAACAAACCAGGAATGAATTGTATTGTTTTGGTGTCGGTTACTCCAGAGAATTTTGAATCAAATTCCAACCTTAAATAAAAATATATATAACACAGATAGACAAACCTAAAGCTTTGAATTGCATGTTTCCTCTGTATAAAACTACGCCAGTTTTTCTAAAGTTTAATGAATTTCCTGCAAATTCAAACAAACCTGGATGACTACTGCCGACAAAGCTTTGACTTTTGCGTCACGTCTTTCATCTCTTTGCTTTCTACTTTGCTCAATGAAAGCAGTCACTTCCGGTCTAACCTCCTTAAACATAGGTCATAAAAATTCTACTTCATAACGACTTAGCGCCGTTGCACACATATTTGAAAGTGCGTATGTAGAGTGAAGCTGAATTGGTATCCAATGTCAATTTCAGACCCAGTCTTTTTGGTTGGTGCCCTGTTTAATGTGTTTTCATGTATTTTCTTGTAAATATACGTCATTTTTCATGCAAAAATTCCTCATTTCTATGATTAGTCGGCTGAAGGTCACTCGTGCATTCGCATCCCTTGAGACGTTATTGTATAACCTTGCCAGTCGACCATTTGCACAAGCACAACTTCTGGGAATCACTTCTAAGATTTCACTACTTGGTGGCAGGACCATTATTCTACAGAGACATAGTCTCCTACTGGCCTTTGAACCGTTCTGCTACGTCTTTCGAAGATGCAATGAACCGATGGGAAGGAAAACAGAAGACACACTAGATCGGTAGTCGTTTCTTAGAATTTTGAACATCGTGATCTCTGCCCACCATATTATTAGGAGGTGGAGCTTTCTAGTTTGCAGATCACAAAAGATACATGCAAAGAGGTGGATATTTCACTGATATTAGTAAAAGCCGTTCATATAGCCCACAGGCATCCCAAACTTTGTATTGTCACCACGCAGCAGTGTAACATTATTTTTGGCTCTTGACTTTGACATTTGGATCCGTATGCGTCCGAACCCCTGGTAACATTATTCTCTTTGTACCATATCAGCTTCACGCTTAAGTGCTTGATATTCATTGTTTGCTCAATTTGCCGCCTTTTATGGAGCAGGCATTCTTTGGACCAGTCTAATCGTCTACTGAAACCTCATTCCAATGTAAGCACCCCACTGTCACCCTTATACCCTCTTCAAATGTTGAGGTCATCTGCGCAGAGGACCGTAGGGGATTCAGTAGACCTAGGTTATTCGTTAATATATATAATTGATAAGAGAGGTCAAATACATTGATATGTAGCACGCCACTACTTACGGTTGTTCACGTGGAGAGTCTTGAGTTGAACCTGACTTTTCTCCTGCCTGTTATGAATTTCTTCATCCAGTTTAGATGAGCCCCTCGACCCCAAAACTTTTGTGAACAACATTCATCGATAGCCTTGCTGAAATCTATTAAAGCTATGTCCAGAATTTTCTTGTTGACCCCGGATCTGACCCACATTACTTTTGCTGTGAGATGGTTTGTCAAGCACAGCTGGTTTCTCCACATGGCGCTTTTTTGATTATTCCCTTAATATTCTGATTGAAATGATAGATGAATGAGGGTTGCTGTAACGTCTGTACTGTCGCACGGTTAGTCTCCATTTGGAAGGAAGAGAGAGCCTGATGACCGCAGTCATTGTATAATAATAATAATATATTTATTCCTGTTTATGCAGGAACATACCAATTGTACAGGCATGGATAAGTTATTATATAAATTACACATGTTTCGATGTATGTATGTTGAATTTACAGTTTGTTTATTCTTTCTGACATTACAGTCAGTCGGAACAGTCTGCAAAATAGTCCGTCTGTGTAACACATAAAGAGATATAGAAATATTGTCTTCGCATTAACAAAAAACCCAGACATCAGATGAATGTAATACAAATATCTGGGAAAAATAAAGCTTGAAGTCAATTCTCCTATATAACTTTGTTGTGAACAGCATCCTTGAGTTAAAGTTTATTGATGTATTATTTTGAGTCAGTGATGTATCTATTCCATTTTTTCAGCAGTCTAATAGTAGTTTTATAATAGGAAAGAAATTTGATAGTTGATACGAAAATTATATAAGGTAATGTTAGATTGTTTTACTGCATCAAATGGGGCCGAGGTCGATTCTAGAACTATCCATTGGCGCCATTCGTGTCAGCATGGCAGACTGTACATGTAAGTTGAGTAATACATTGAAAACTGTTTGAAAACCAGTTGCTTCTTTATTTCAGATCAAGAATACCCCTTGTACAGAATGTTGGCCAGCGTTTTCAAATGGTAGCATCGGATCGTTCATGGAATTTGAGTTTGAATTTACTTAAATGGTCATTTCAGTTTAAATGTTGGGTTGTTCGACCTCGACCAGGAGATATATAGAAGTGCAGGCTCAGGATATAATACCAGAAAGAGAAAGTATGTAAACATAAAGAGAACGTTAATATTTTGTGTATATATAAATGTTTATAAATGTATATCATTGTATAGTAAATATTACCTATAATCTAGTTGTTTTTTCATGTATTTTTTAGTGTCATAATATTTAGTAATGAGTCTATGCGTAATAGTGTTCTAATAGTTCATGCGTTTTAGAAATAAGTGGTGTGGTGTGATTGGCATAGTCATTGGGATGAAACAGTTTATATAGCACGCGTTTGAAGGTTATAGTAGAGTCACAGGTCCTATTTCTAGGGATAAACTGTTCCAGATTTTAAAGTACATGACCATGAAGAAGTTTGCACGGAGTGCTGTCTTACAATTTTTCCTAGATACTGTGCACGTTTGGTTACGAAGGTTGTGAGAGCCTTCGCACACCTCTTGAAATGCTCCCATATGACCGGGTGTCTTATATAGCCTCTCTTGAGGAAGTCCTATTCACTGCCTTCACGTGGCGGAGGTGTTTTTCACCAGAGTGAGGGGGCGAAAGCGGATGCTCGGCGCTCTTCACCGGGTTGACTGTCCATTGGATGACAGTCTAGGGGAGATGGCTAAACCCTGATTCCAAACCTCCAACGACTGGCGTATGAAGCTCACCGGCAGACGTATGGACAAAGGGCTTGTTGGATGTCCTGGATGTCTGGCCCCATTCGAAAAGGCGTATGAACGGAACTCCGGTCACCGGCTGCCAATGGATAGTGGACTCCCTACTCCACTCCTACTGCCTTGTAGGTCACACCTGGTTGTGTAAAGCCTAGAGCTGCACTCTCAAACAAAAGGCCGAGCGATTCTGGGGACATCACTCGTACCGAATTCCCATGAAACTTCATGAACTCTCTTACAAACGTCGCCTTCGGTGGTTTGGCCATGTTCTGCGCCGACCGGATGACGATCTGGTCAAATCAGTTCTAAATCCCTCGCCATTACCATGGGCGTTGATATGGCATATCCCCTCTTTGAAGTGGCGCCTTTAGCCTTACCTTGAAGTCATTTGCGCGGTCAAGTTGATTTCAGTTTGGCTGATTTGCTTCGTTTGATCTAGGTAGCTGCATCTGACGTGATTTTGGTTTTTATTTGGCTTTAACTGTGTTGATTTTGTTAAGAATAGTCGTCGAAAGCTGCCTCTAGGCCTGAAGGCAGTTATGGTGCAGGAGGATGCTTGAGAATGTGTTTCATGTGAAAAATATAGGGTGCACCTAAAATCCCCAGGCTTACGCGTCAAACCGTAAGAATTCTATTTTTTATTTCTGCGGCGCAAAATACGCCGGTAGCCAATCTGGCTTTCGTATGCGCTACAAGGAGGACGAGTTTATCATTTGTTCCGCGAAAACAGTTCACAATCACAGATGTGAAGAAAGTCTTATGATAGGTGATCCATATTTTAGACGCCTGTCCGGGGATGAAAAGGAGAATATTGCACCAGTTGTGAAGACTACATCTGAGGTTTGTGATGTTTTGGAATATGCTGAAGAGAATTTAAATAAAATTTTGATGAGCACAGATGTGTATAATTTACGTAAGGATGTGAGACCAGGTAATTGAAGTAGTTTAAAGTTATTTTTGAAGCCATGCCTTTGAGATCAGATGTTATGCGAATAATGAGGCAAAGCGGTCAGGTGGTTGAATACGTGGATTCGATTACAGGGATAACCAGCAGATTTTGCTTCGCCCTGGAATCACAGGTTCAGTTATATCGGAAATATGGAGAGGTGGTGTGTATTGACTCAACATACAATACCAATAAGGACGGGTAGGTTATACGTGAAACGGCTGACAAATCTTAATCAGATATTCTCTGTTTCAGTTGGTGGTAACAGACAATATGGGTCATGGCAGGCCTGTTTTTTTGGCATGGACGAGACGAGAGAGGTCGTGTGATGTAGCTTGGATATTGGAACAATTCCAAATAATAATGCAGGATACGTCCATTACAGAAACTTTCGTAATGGATTCGGCCAACTGTGAGATATCCGCCGTGCGTAATAGTCAAATTCAGGCGAAAATCGTCATCTGTGCGTTTCATGTATGCCGGGCTTTCAGCAGGAAGGTGAGGTGAATTTAATTAATACTTGATGCATTTAGACTCGAAATCATTTTGTACGCAGGTTTTTATGTCGTCTTGTTAAAGCTGCGACACCTGAAAGGTAAATGCATTGATTTCTAATCATTTGGATTTCATCACCACCTTAGTGTCATTAGGACGGTTGATCGGAGGGTGTGGAATTATGTCAGGTATTACTGGGTGCCTAAGAAGGAGACGTGGGCTGCAGCACATATGCCGAATACTCTGTTGCTGTTTAATAGTACTAACAATAGAGTTGAAAGCTCTCACAGTCACCTAAAACGATATTTCCACAAAAGAGATCCCCTACACGTGTGTATGTACAAGACGTATAATTGGTGTGTACTCACAGAGAAGCGTCGGAGTGTTGAAGTCATCGTCGAAAGTTGTCGGATTCATAAGTACCACGCACCAGAACCAGTTATGCCGATATGCCGCAAAGTT